AGTGGCAAGGGGGAAGGAAATTTTAAATACATTTAACATTAGAATTTCATGTCTAGATTGTGAGGTCAGAGGCCAATCGTACAGTGATGTATGACATGACAGAAAAGGTGGTGGTTGGTTTGGCTTGGGTTTGGGTTTTTTTAATTAATAACTTCATTGTGTTTTATTCTACCTATCGTTATAGTATGATACCTTGTTGTAACTTTACTGATATGAAATGTAGTACAACATATTTGTGAACCATATGTAATCATGGTATTAAGCACATTTATTTACTTTGCTAAAACAAATTTAAATGTGTATTTTTCATTAATTCTTTTTTCTATTTACTTTTATCAGAAGTCATTCAAATCAAACCTTGTTGTTATCTGGGAGAGAGTTTGAACTTGATTACATGCTTTAAGTGAAGGCATTTGAAAGTAGGAGTAATTCTGGCTTATAGTGCATGCTTAAAGCCAAAAGATTTTCAGCAGAGTTCCAGCAATCTCAGCAGCAATCCCAGGGCATGCAGTGAGGGGCAAAATCTGTGGAGCTTGTAATACTGCAAAGAGCAGAAGCAGGAGAAGGGAGGGGATTTGTACAAATACTTATAACAAGTTTTTCTTCCAGAGAAATAAAAGTGATGCTTCTTGGAAGCCAAATTCCTTTTGGGGCTGTGTCAGCTTCCAGCATATATAAATGTGAAGTTGTGGCAATTTCTTAGTCCTAATGACTAAGAAGTTTCATTCATTATTTCTCCAAAATCATCTAGAGATGACCTGCCCTGACACAGAAGTGTGCATATAGTACTATTTTATTTAAAATTAACTGTTTTTAATTGGACTTTGTGTTTAGTTCCACTTGTATATAAGAGGTTTTAACAACAGTGTGACTAAATCTGTGCAATGAGCTCAGAAAATGTGAAACACTCCAGTTAAGTAGGGTTAAAACCTCTGTTTCTGTACTCTGCATTGTTACTAACTTGGCTTTTTGTTACACACTCCATTTCAAATCTCAAAAAGAGCCAAGTCCATTTTGTGGTTTTAAGTGTCTTTGCAAGTCTTCACTTAAAAAACAGTCCATCATATAGAAAGTGGTCAAGTCTCTGGTACTTTTTGTGGCTGAGCATTAAATTCCTGATGATGGGCTGTGATTCATAACAGAAAAAAAAAACTTGAAAAGAAAGTTAAGACCTGCTGTGGGCAGGGAGAGACCCTGGTAGTAGGTTACCTGAGGAGAACTGTGCAGTGTTTCATGTTTGAAATCAAGATGTCTCATTCAGAGCACGAGTTTGGGGACCTGTCTAAAATTGTGCCAAAAAGTGATGTCACTGGCCATAGGCCAGCATTGTGGTGTGGCAGCCAGTTTCCACTCTGCTTTCAGATTGCATTAACAAATGCTTAAATGAAAAAGAAAAAAGAAAACAAAAAAAGTGTTACGGTTCTGATTCTAGCAGTTGCTGTCATAAAATTTCTGTTTAAAAATGAGTGGAAAGTTTTTACCTCACCAGCTCTCCAAGTGGAGCCGTTAGTGCTACTGGGGTTGCTTTCTCCTAAGCACATTGCCACCACCTCCTCTCTCATGTGCACAACCAGTTTCTCTCTCAGTATTAAAGCCTGGATTCCCAAGAGCATTCACACAGGGTTCTACTTGGAGGATGTAGTCCCAAGTTTTCAGAATTCAGAAGGACTCTCTCCTGCTGCTATAACAGCTGAAGGAGTAGGGCTTTGAAAGCTCAGTGTTATTTGTGTGGAGTGTTTTTCAGTGGGAGCACTCTGGTAGCAGCTGCTCATGAGTCACCATCCCACACCCCTGCTCTCACATGTCTCTGTTCTCTTTCTCCAAAGAAAGTAACCATCTTTACCAGCATATATCCCTTGCTTTTCTTCTTCCACCAGACATACAAGCAGGAAAATTAGTGGCTGACCATTTCTTCAGGTATCACAGAGTGTGCAGTTTCTCTGCTAACAGTTACTAAATAAAGGTCCTGGAGTGATATCTGGAAAATTATAGGAATTTTATTTCCTCAGGTATACCTTTTTTTCACCAAACTTTTTTTGTCATATTTTGTAGATAATCCACAAACTATGACAAAGAAGCTACAGTGGTTTAAAAGCAGTGTTTAAAACACCAAGACTGAGATGCAGCATGTGGCTTTATGTTTGTGTACCCCAAACAGGAGTGAGTTAGATTCAGCTGGTAACTTTTTTTATTTCACTATGATGGCAGTGTAATTATGGATTGGAATTATAAGTGGTTTAACAAAGTATTACAGTAAATGGGCCTGGACCTCACAAGTCTTCCTCCACAAGACCAAACCAAATTCAAAAACACTCTAAAAAGAAAAATCTGTCATAATTTCATATGCTTGGTGGGTAAGATAGATCAAAGGATTAAAGTTTTGAGTGACAGAATATCTGCCTTCTGCTGAGGGTTGTATTTAACATACAGAGGCATAACAGAGGCATGAATGTTAATGTATTTCTTTAGCCATCTTGGTGATTTATGGGCCAGACTTATTAAAAAGTTAGACTTGTTGTACAGTGTCCTTCCCCTCTTGACAGGGATTAACGTGTTGAGATTTATTCACCTTTCTTCTGACACTCAGCATGGATTAGTATAGAACAGTCTGAACATCTGGCTTGGCCATGATATTCTTCTGTGAGTTTTTCTGTCTATGCAAAATATTCCTCTCATTAACTCAAAAAAAAAAAAAGAACCAGAAAGCCAGGCCAAGTCTGGCTGTCAGTCCTCTTAGCTACAGCTGCCAAGGAGAGCTGAGTGGTGGCAGCAGTTACAAGGTCTGTTGACCAGCTGGAGATAAGGCAACAAAGCAATGACTGAAGTGTGGGGTCTCTCCAGGAGGACCAGCACAGAGCTCAGGCAGGGCTGGGCCTCAGAGGGACTCCCATGTGGGAGCAGGGAGCATGTCCAGGGGACAGTCAGGACCACCAGAGCCTGTTGGTGCCCTCAGACCCTGACAGGTAGGTCTGGATTCCCCTGCACATAACTAGTGTCTGGGAAGCCTCTCTTTCAGAAGATGCCCTGGGAAGTTCAACAGTCATCCAATACTTCTGTGCAGACAATGAACATTGTTACTGGTTTTCTAAAGCAGCTGATGAAGAATCTCTTTTCTCTCCTATAAAATACCCTGTAAGACTGCTCCAGAACTGTAATGCTTTGCAAAAAAAGATGTTATGTTTCCTGTGCACATCTATGTTTTTAAGGCACAGATCTACCTATGATCTTGACCAGCCCACTTCTGAAACTATTAACAGTTGTGTTGTTTCATTGGTTCTATTGTTTCTTTCCTGCCTCTTAATTCTTTCACACTGTATCACTGATCTCAAATTCTTCTTCCATCGATGCTAATTGCACCTTACCCAGGCAGTGTTACTGGTTTGAGCTTCTCATCCTTATCCAAACACTTATGATTCCATGAGCTCACAAAATGGATTGCACAGTGCTGTATCCCAGCCAATACAGTCCCTCATAGCAGCTTGAACACCAAAAATGTGCCCTGTTCCCAGCCAATACAGTCCCTCATAGCAGCCTGAACACCAAAAATCTGTCATATTCACTCCACTGTGAACCTTGTCCACAGACAGTTTTTGCTCATGTCCCATCAGACCTTCTGACTTGGGGTTTTCATCCTGCTGTTGTTTTATCATTGAAAAAGAGGGGGTTTGGCTTGGTTTTTGTTCTTGTTGTTAATAATACATAACTACGTTGTTTAATCTTTTGCATTTGACAAAACTGAATATAACAGAATTCTTCTATGAAAGAATGTGTGGGAGAAATAACAGGGCAGTCAGTTTTCTTAATACCAGAAAAGAGTCAAGAAACACTTAAAGATGTATGTGGATTAGTTACAAAAAAAACCCTTACAGTATTAAAAGCAAATAGTGCAGAAGTCAGTTTCCTTAACACTGCATTTGTTATTTTAGACTAAGGTCTTTCTGCATCAGAGATTGACAGGACAGACAGTAAATAAAATTAATGCAGACAAGTTGGGAAGATGGCCTGAAAAAATATCAGATGTAATGCACTTGGTACAGGTGCAATTATGACATTTTTCAGGAGTAGTCAGCTGCATAAATACAGAATGGGAAAAACTGGTCTGAGAGCAGTTCTTCTGCACAGTTTCTGAATGCTTACAGTAGATTGCAAGGTGAACTTGAGTTCATGGTATTGCATAAAAGATAAGCACCACACACAGATAGATGCAGAAGATTACAGCTTGAAAGGCACGTATAAGCTCTCTGCTGTCTTCACTATCTTCACTCTGGCACCTTATTACTCATAGCCACTTATTGCATCAAGTATCAGGAGCCTCGTTTGGAAATAAGGAGAAATGAAGAAAACCCAGAGAAGAGCAATAAGAACAATCAGAGTGAAAAAGACACAGCCTTTGTGGAATGATTGATCAGATCCAGGGTAGTTTTAGCCCAGAGAACCCGGTGTGCAAAAAGCCTACAAACAGGGACAGAGCTGAAGCAAATGTAAAAGAAATTATCTCCTTAGTGAGATGAAGAGGGCAGCAGCTAATGAGGTGAGGTGTTAGCAATGCGTTTTCATGCTAGATGTTTGGAGAACCTTGCTAATGGTAAAGGTAACAAAGCACTGCAATAAATGGCCCAAGGAGGCTGCAAACTCTTTGCCATCAGAAATCTTCTAAGAAGGAATCACACAGGCACCTCTCAGATGTGACAGGGTTCATCTTGCTTTGGATTACAAGGATGTCTTAGACCTCTGGAATTCTCTGACAGCCTTGTGACTCAGTGATTGCAGTAAGCAGTGATAGGTCACTTCTCTTAGCAGGACCTGTTAATGCTTCTCTTTCTTTCTCAAGACCATGGAGCTCTACTTTATAACTTCCAATTTCAGTTGCCTCCTGTTCCCTTATTTTCCCTCTCAAATGTACTGCCAACTCCAGAGTTAATGCCTCTCCTCACATTTATGAATCAGGTTTCTGTGATAATTAATCCACTGAGAAAAATATTAAACTTTTTTTTTTATAGATTTATCTGAAAAGCAGTGACCTCGGAAGCTCTGTAGGTGAAGTAGAGCAACTGATAAGGAAACATGAGGCTTTTGAGAAGCTTCTGGCATCACAGGATGAGAAGGTACAAAAATCAAAGCCAAATGCTCTACCAGCCCATGAGCTAGAATGATTTTTGTTGTTTGTTTAATTTGTTTGTCTTTTAGTATGGCAACACATTGCATTGCTGCTAAGTGGGATATGCTTGATAGGCTTGACCCAGAAAGAAAATGGGGCAACTTAGTGAAATAAGAGACTTGTTCAGTGGAGAACAAGTGTTAAACACTCCATGCCCAAGTCTTGCCTGTATTGTCTTGCAATAGATGGGAAAACCACTTAGTTAGTTGAATAGCGGGAATTACCAGAAGAAATATTTAAAGTTATCTATGTTGTGTGTTATGGTGTGGTGGATTAACCAGGTGCCCTCCAAGCCCCTCTATCACCCTCCCCCTTTTCCTCCCCCTCCTTTGCTGAGCAAAAGAGAGGAGGAAAATAAGATGGAAATAAGAGCCCTGTGGGTAAAAACAAAGGCAATTTAATTGGAAAGGAAAGCCAAGCAATGCCACACATGGAAGCAAGTTAAAAAAACCAAAGATTTATTCTCTACTTCCCTTCACCAGGTGATGTCTGGCTCTTCCCTGGGAAGCAGGGCTCCAAAATGTGTAGCAGTTGCTCCAGAAGACCAAGGAGTAGCTTTCCCCCACCCTCCTCCTTTTACTAGATTTATAGTTGAGCTGATGTCACATGGTATGGAATATCCCTTTGGTCAGTTTGGGTCAGCTGTCCTGGGTATGTCCCCTCACAAGCTCCTGCCCCCCCCAGCCCACTCGGGGTGCAGGGAGGGAATGTTAGACAGAGCCTTGGTGCTGTGCAAGCACTGCTCAGTGGGAGTCACACCATGGGTGTTACCAACACCCTCCTAACTCCCAACACACACACCCTGCACCAGCAGGGCTGCAATGGGAAAGCCAGCTCAGGCAGACCCAAAACACCTGGATATCAGAAGTTCCTGCTTTTTTCATTAAAAAATCAGTGACTTGTAAAGCAAGAAAAATACAGTAGGTCAGATGGGACGACTTGTCCAATCATTGAAATTAACATCTAGTATAAATGTCTGTCCCAAATTGGGCAGCATCTTTGCACCATTAGAATAGATGCTGAATTGCTCACCTGCAGGTGAAGGAATCTGCCTGGCTGGTGGCCACTGCTGTGATTCATCCAGACTAGAGCTCAGCTCAAACCTGGGCATGTGTCTGGTTCCCCAGGAGGAATGAGTTCACAAAACCTGTGCCAGCTCCCTGCCAGACTGGTGCTTGTGTTGAAATATACCTTCCAGCACCTGATTTCCAAAATACAACAAAACCTAAGCACTCATGGGTGTTAGGCTTGCTCCATGATTCCTTGCACTGGATGATCAGTGGCACAGGGTCTCCTGGAGCCAGAGCTTTAATTCATTTAAGTAGCCAGGGTGCAGTACAGAGACAAATGACAAGGACATCATAGAGGTAACATAGTACAGGGTGAGGGTGTGGGGAATGCTGTTTAACTTATCCCTGCTATTCTTAGTTCATTCAAGAAAAAAAGGAGAATCTTTTGGGTATGGAAGGGAACCTGGTTTTGTTTTTTTCACACCACTTGGAAGCATAAAAGTAATTTCAGATTTGTTGCCTCCTCAGATGACATCTCTTCAAGAACAGGCAAGCAGGCTAGAAAAGATTGGTGGTCTAGAAGGGCTAAAGATCCAGCACAAACTAGATACCATTCGTAAGAGGAAGCAGCAAATCAAGGATCTGTCCCAGAGTAGGAGAGAGAAGCTGCAGACAACCCTTCTGCTGGCACTTTTCTACCAGAACTTGGAAGAGGTAAGAGGGCTTTCAAGTGGGATGGGGTGGAAGGCAGAGGAGCTGCCTGTCTCTGTTGGATGGAGTGCTCTCCCTTGTCAGATGTTAGGTGGGTGGATAATCTACTCTGGTGTGGCAACTCCTGCCACACTCACACAAAGGGGCCCTCCAACACCATTGTTGTTACTGTACCATAGCTGAGGCATTGTGCCCACTACAGCTGCTTTACACAACAGGAGCTCTGCTAAAATAAAACTCATCAAAGGAAAACTGCCAGCTACTACCTTATGTTTCCTTTGGTGGGAAAGAAAAGATATTTCAGATCAGGATGAATACAAAGTGGAAGCATTATGGCAAGGACACTAAGCTTTATTAGTGGGTTTTCACTGAAGGCCTTCAAAACAGTGCTGTAACTTAGCATAGCTCTTCAGCTACTCTAGGCTTCTCTCTACAGAATATGTTTGTCTCTGTCTCCTGGTCTGGCCTTAGTCCTGTGACTCAGTAGCTCTGCTCCTGGCATTACTGTTGGAAAGACCTACTAGGTCAGTCTTTCAAAGGGCAGCACAGTGTATGTGACCAAAAAAATGTGCCAGCCTCCAGTGTGCTGGCATAAACAAGAGCACACAGGCCCAGAGGGACGTTTGTAAACACTTCTTGTTCTGGTATGCACCCCCTCTGCTGCTGCTCCCATGGAACATCCTCCATCCTTAAAGAAAAACTGCAGGTGCTTGTTACCTCCCAGCCCATGAAAAAAACACATCCTGACACAGGTCAGATTGTGATTGTCACCAAAGGAAAATGAATGCTTGTAACACAGCTAGTGCTAACCAAATTTATTTCTTGCCCCCACCAAAGCAATCAGACATTTAAATACCCTCTTCTTTGGCTACACTAAAATGCCAGGGCTGTGTGTGGTTTTATTTTTTTTTTTTTAATAGACTTTATCAGCAATTATTTATTCAGCCAAATATTAACTCATATTATTTGGCTGTACTTTTCCTATTACATGAACCAGTCTACCAGTAAGGGCCAGTCTACCCTGTGGACTAGCAGAGAGGAGTGGATGAAGTGGGCAGTGCATTGTACAATGCTAATATTTCCAAAACAGCAACGTGCAACTGATGGAAAGGTCCTAGAACTGCCAACACCCTCTTGGGCAAAGTAACTGCCAGTGCCCTCCTGAGGATACAATCAACCCATTAGGCAGGAGCTCTTCTGCTTTCCTTCCTGTATCTCTGCAATTGTTGAATCACTGCTTGGGCTGGGGTCCCCTTCCATTTCTGATCCCCATACAGCAGAGGATCTGGCCCTGCATAGTGGGTAATATTCCCCTCATTGACTTTCTCCACACAAATTCAGCCAAGAGTACTATAGGGAGTTTTTTTTCTCAAAGTACCTGCTCATTTACCTCACCAATCTAGATTTATTGCCCACTGCTGTAGAATGTGAATGACACCAAGGAGTTTAAAAAATAATAAACTTACAGTAATATCTCTCTTCTTTGCTGGGTAGAATAGAGTGTTTAATTTGATTTTAATGATCTTCTGAATGTGTTCAAGTTCATATATGAGAATAGTCCCCAAAGGGATGTTAAATTACAGAGATGAGTTTTAAGTGTAGCTGTGAAATCTATGAGTCACTGTTTATTCTTACATATTACAAGAATAAGTCCCAAAGCTCAGGTCCTACTCCTCTGAAAACCCTCCTACAATCATCTTAAGTAATTTCTATTGATCAAACTAATTTTTTTTTTTTTTGTCAGCAGAAGGTAGTGATTGCTGTCATTGTTAAAAGTCTCCTAGTTAGCCTCTAGAAGCAATTACACATATCAGTGCAAAGACCACACAGTCTGTGGTTGCTGACAGAGGGTAGAGTGCTCAGCATCATATGGGCTGCTTAGCAGGCTAGCTGCTGCAGGTGGTACCCTTTTCAGAACACAGGACTTTGGTTTTTTCTCCATAAAACCCATGCTGATTCACTCAGGAGGTCACATGCAGCTCACAAAATAGGACACACTCTCCTACAGTAGAAGTAGAGTGTTTTTCTAGTCCAGGAGAAGTGGGACAAACCTATAGACTATCTTACTGTCACAAAGTCTGTACCTTAATGTTAACATGGAAGTCAAATTAACAGGTTTCTACTTAAAAATGTGGTTTTGTTTAAGTTATTTCAGAGAAAAGATCATGAAGTTGAAAGTTTTGACTTCTAAAGCTAGTTCTGGGTTTGAATGCTGACTGTGAAACTTATTCATCATACTAGTGTCACTGAACTTCCTTTCCCTGTCACCCTCTGTACAAAAGAATAAAACCCACTTGCTCCTTTATCTCAGAGGAGTGAGAGAGCCAATTAATTGTTCTCTCTAAATGTCTAGAACAGGCACATCCCTCTATATGCTTGAAATATTTCTGTTATTAAAAATCAGTGTAATTTACAAAGAATTTGTGCTCTTGAGGTTACTGAAACAGACTTTTTTTAAATACAGGTTTCTAAATTGATAATTCCCACATTTTTTTTTATGAGTCAAATAGAAATAAGTCTGGTCCCACGTGCCTAGACTGACCACAACACTAGTGTGACTGTTATGTTCAATAAAGTGAAAATGCCTGTCTGGGCAACCGTAAGTCCATAGAAAGATCTTGGGACAACAGATCAGTCTTGCTTCACATCTGTATGTGGACATGGGGCCAGGAGAAGGGTCTCTCACTCTCTAGAGCCATCCTAAGTAAGCCTGAAAATAAACCAAGCCACTAAAAGTGCAGATGTAGCTGGTTTTAAATGGCTTTGTTCAGTCTGTCATTAAGTAGAAGAACTACATTTTAAGTGGCTATATACAGGGGATTCATTTGTTTCTCATCCTCACCCTATGGCTGAGCCTCTCCCACCCAAAGGAGAAGTCAGCTAAGTGAGGTTAAAGTGTTAATTTGTGTCTGGGTAATGGGAGAAGGCCCTAGCTTGTGAGGAGGGTGTCAGAAATGAGAAGAGCAGATGACACTGTGCTGTCCTGGGCAACCTTGACATAAGGCTCCTGTTTAAGTCTCTAACTGTGCTTTGGATGGGAACACTTTCTGCAGAGCAGGCTGCTAGTGAAAGCTATTTCTGAGATTGTTTATGGAGTTTCAGCAGCTGAAACAACACTTCCAATCATTAATTAACTGCGAAAATCCTCCAGTTGTCAAGTCTTGTGTGCGTGTAGCACAGTTCCACAAGGACAGCCAGGATACTTTGAAATCAGTAAAGCTGGCTTCAGCTTGCTCTTCTTGTGTTGCCAAAACACTGGGTTACTTCAGCAGTCTGAGGACAGCAGGATCAGTTACAACGTATGTCAAGTGTTCAGTTCTTACTGTTTTGATGGATAAAGAATATTCCCATCACTGCTCAGGGCTAATGCTTAGCACACTTTAAAGAAAATTGCAGAAAACTCACTATCCTATTGTCCATTTAAACCCCCTGGAAAAGAATTTCCTAAGAGAAACACATAACCTTTGTTTTTTCAGTCCTTGAGGTTCACCTGCTTGTCTGAATCTGATATTCCTGGCTGGACCATTTTGAGTTTTATGAAGTCTAAAAGCAAACAGAGTTGTATTTGCTTTCAAATAATCTGACTAGTGCTTGGCCCCATCAGTAAGGCTTTATTTGCTTTGCATTTTCCATTTAGGTGTCACAACCTTGCTGAGATCAGGAAATGTTATTGCTGTTTTATAGGTGAGGCACAGAATTCTTAAGAATCTTAACCCAGTTTACAGGCAGGTCCTTGACAGAGGTAGAAGATGAAACTCAGAGCCCTAAATCCAAGGCTCACCCATCATAGTCTCATTTTAAAAATATTTAACATGTCAAGGCTGTCTATCTGCTTGAGGATTCTCTGCAGCAAATCTAGAAGATTGTATAATCTGGTTATGGCTTGTGATAAAATTTGGGATATTCAAGGAATTTTTCATTATTCTTGTGGTCAGATTCAACTTTCATTCCTACCTACTTTTATTTCCTAGCAAGCAGAGTAGTTCAGAAACTGGAGAGCCACCTCAGCTGTCAGCTCCCAGCTTGATCTGCCTAGCCTAGGCACAGGCAGTTGCACAGAACAGTGATATGTTTTGGGAGGAGGCCCCAGGACAGCATGTTGTGCTCATTCTGATGCCTCTCACTGCCACAGGCAGAAGACTGGATCGGTGAGCGCATGCAGAAGCTGGAGGACCCTACCATGCAAGATCCCACCAATCTGCAGGACAAAATGAAGCTGCTACAGAAACATCAGGTCTTTGAGGCAGAAATTCTGGCAAATGAAGAAATCATCACAGCTGTTAATAAGGTAACTCTCTCACACTAGTAGTGTTTTTACAGATTAGTGCTGGTTATCCAAAGGAGGACAGATAGAGGGAAAGAAAAGGAAGAGTAGCATGTTCACCACTTCTATAGCAAATATCCTACTTGTGTGACAAGAACCCAGTTGCTATGCCATGGAAACATAATGCTGTTAATTTACAACAGACAGATTTATTAATTGCTCTATCCAGGGAACTTCCATCTTTCCATATTGCCCAAACAGGAAGATATCACTGACTTCTTCCTTGCCTGGAGTGATTACTCCAATAAACGGTAAATAGGATTTCATGCCAAATTTGTGAACATTCTTGTTGAAACTGACTCACATAGCTGAAGGGCACAGTCATCTATAATACCTTTCTTGGTGATTCCACCCCACAAATGTCATTCTTGGCAGGAAAACCCTGAAATCCCAGTGTTCTTGATTCCCTCCAGATGTAAAAGCTTTCCAGCTGAGCAGAATCGTTTGGGCAGGAAGAATTTATATTAGTAATTCATTGTGCAGTCAAGGTTAGAAAAATGAGAGATTCCTTCTAGAAAGGCCATGTCACATGGTAATCACATTAAAAATTAGTGGCTACCTTGATTTCTAATTTCTTCTAAATGTGAAGAAGGGAGAAGCCCTGGTATCAAAAGGCCACCCAAAATCAGGAGAGATCCGTCGCCAAGTCCGCGTGCTTCAGGAGCACTGGGAGAAGTTGAAGAGAGCTGTTGCTGCCCGTGGAAGGATGCTGGAGGACAGCAGGGACTTCCTGGAATTTCTCCAGAAGGTGGACCAGGTGGAAGCCTGGATCAGGGAGAAGGTAAATGGTATTTAACCCAAGTAACACACTAGAAACTTTCTATTTAGCAGTGAATTTCTGATAAATGTGTCATCTTCCAGGATATTTTCTTAATTGCTTTTGCCTGGAAGAATTATGACATGTTCTAAGGAATAAGTCAACAAAGTATAAAAATTTTCTGGAGTATTTCCATGCCAGAGGCAGTTAGACAGTATTATCACACATTCTCATGTAAAAAGTGCACAAAAAGAGATTGTGATTGTTGGAGACCATCTCACGTGTCTCTACCGAGACAGAGAAATGAAAGCAGACTAGAATGGAAGAGACTTGAAGCATTTGGCAAGTGGCACTTACTCTTATTGTGTATCCAATCTGAAAGTTTCTCTTCATAAGAGTGAAGGAAGAGTCTCTTGATCCATTAAGTTTTCATTCAGAGGTTACTTCCATAATCAGTAATAGATTGGAGAGGGAGTTGGGACTAAGTATCATAATTATCTACAGATCAGAAGAGACTACTTCAGAAGCTGTAGATCAGTGATTTACAGACACATCACAGCACTTATTGCACCAGCATACCCGTTGGGCCCTGCTGTGTTCTTGTACTCTTAGCCTGAGTGTTTGCCTGTCTGCTGCTTATTTCCCCAGGAAGTCATGATTAATGTAGGTGACGTGGGAAATGACTATGAACACTGCCTGCAGCTCATGAAAAAGCTGAACGAGTTCCGTGGAGCAACATCAGGGGTAAGAGGTCTTTTCTATACACATTCCTTGTGTGGCTGGAAGCAGCAGTTAACTTTTCAGCCCAACAGTATATCCAGGTAGCAAATAGAGTTCCAGTATGCTGGGAAGGGGAAAGATCATGGAGCAGGAAGCATTACCACTTTATAAGTCATTAAAAAACACAGAATTTTCCCTCATTGTGCCTTCTGTTTTGATGATGTCCAAACAGAACTGCCAGGTGCTCATGACACAACCTAAAATTCTGGGCTGCATTACATGAGCAGAAAGCTGGCTGTGTGAGCCTGAACTGGAGCAGGTTTCCAGTTTGGTTTATGCTGTCCACAAAGTCACAGTGAGTTCCACCCAAAAGTGGATTAAAAGTGGCTGTTTCAGCCATGTTTGTTTGAATCTGAAATTTGATATTGACTTTTCATGAACAAGCCCATTAAAAAAGATTAATAACCACTTTCTCCATTTCCCTCCTTCGTTTCTCACTTCCCCTTCTCCTGGGGAACAGTCATATTCCTCATTTTCCTTCATCCATATGAAGCACATATATTTGGGAGCCTTTGTTTATACAGCACATGTTGTTAGTCATGAATCATAATGTTAATAATCTGGCATTTAGTACAACAGAGCAATGGTTTACACACTTTGGATAGAAACCATGTGACAAGACAGCTCCACAGTTCACCTTTCTGTGCTGAGACCTCTGACCCTTTTGTGGGGCTGAGTTATGCCAGCTGCCTCTCTTGCCCTCCATGAGAAGTGCTAACCTGGGCACCAAAGCTTAGGAACACTGTGGAACAGGCCCTGCCACAACGAGGACATCCTTGTGATGTGCTTCAGCTCCCACCCTGAGAGCTGTGAGGCCATACATCAACAAGATGATGAGTTTGCAGCAGACTCTTGTTCTCTCTGTGTGACCTGCTAGAGATGTGGGCTAGCAGGTCTGAGTGTTTCTCAGACCTTTCCTTTCACAGGAGAGATTACTCTGCTGATTTGCTAGCCTGAAAGCTGTGAGGAAGGTGTAGAAAGAGATATATTAGGACTTTGTGAGTGAGGTTTACTCTGATGTTCTCTTCTAGTGTTTTTTTTATTCTTTGTTTGCCTGTTATCTTGTTGCCTATTCCTGTTATGGCAGCTCCCATCTTCTGTTTCTGTTGCCTAAAAGCAGAAAGAGACAATCCTCTTCTCTGCAAAGCAGCAGTACAGATAACCCCTGGGAGAAAACCCTGACCTCCCCTTGAAAAGTTTCTTGTGACAATGAGGAAGCCCAGTCCAGGCTTCCCCACTAGACAAATCTCAGATCAGGATAGGAAGCAATCATCTTCCATTGATGGCTGCCAGATTTTCTGCTCATATTGTGTCATGTTCTGCTGCTATTATTTCCCAGGAGAGGAGACTGCAGGGTTTCTGAGGAACACCTGGCTGTCTGCTGGTTTCTTCTGTTTACTTTACAGCTGTGTAAAATAAATAAAGAACATATGGAAGCATGGACATTGGTATGGATGTAGTATAAATAAAACACAAACTGAGTCAATACTTTTATTAACAGGGTGCTGGCATCTTGCAGCTGTGCTTCTACTGCACCAGTGATTAATGTCTCCCTGCTAAGCCTGTGATTTACTGGTCTTAGAAAAACAGAGAATGTTTTTGAATCTTGGAGCAGTGTTCAGTATTGGCCATCCATCAGGCTCCAAAAGAACAATTATTTCCCTGTAGTCCAGATTATATGTACAATGTGCAAATATTATCCTTTCTGTGGCATGTCCAAGGGAAGCAAGTTGCCTCAAAGACTTGGGATACTTTTTAAAATGCAGTGATGTTGCTTTAGAAGAAAACACAATGCCATGGGTTGTCTAGGTTTCTCAATGCTCTATGGATTTTAAGCCTTTTGCTCATAGTACAGAGGTCAGTTCTGGACAGAAGCCTATCTAGAAACAACAGTGAGTGGACCTGGGAGCCACAAGTCACTACCTCTTTGACAGAGAAACAATCTGCCACACATCTGCTCCACAGCAGCCACCTGTGTGACCACCACCCATGTTTGTTCAACAAATGAGCCCCTGCTAGGATGTCTGGATTAGAAATTAAGCTCTGAGGGTCCTCGTCTGGACCTAGATCACTGTTGTATCTGTAGTCATTAATGGTCTTTCTCACCTTTACTGTCTTCTCACTGGGGACTGGTAACACCTGCAGTTGTGGCAGAGCAGACTCCATGTGTCTAAACTGTTAGGTGGTGAGGTGAAACTCTTGCTTGTTGCTGTTATTGGGTTTTTTCCACATCTCAGTGGAGAGCTCAGTCACAAGCATTTTGAACACACAGTGTTATTTCTTTTCTCCCTTTACAGGAGACAACAGTGGATGATGCTCACATCAGGTCCATCAATGCCCTGGCCATGAAACTGGAGAGACAGAACAAGGAAGAAACAAAGACAATATACGATCGCCGGAAGCAGCTCAATGAGAGGTGAGTGTCATTTTAAAGCTCTCTGTGTAAAGCAAAAAACAAGAAGGAAAGATTAGATGTCTTCCACTGGGATAAACAGAGGAATTACAACATATATTTTCTTCTTTAGCATCATGACTACCAAACATCAGACACTGGAGTTGCCTTTCAGGACTCTCAGAGCAGTTAGTCAGAAGGATTTCTAATCCATCAGGGCCAAAGTCGTGTTTCTAGTCCTGGAGGCAAATGTGCTGTTCCACAGCACTTCACACACTAGATCCATGAAGCTGAAGCACTTCCTCCTCTTCACAGAGTTGTTCAGGTGAAGTGCATATTGCTTGTGCTAATTCACAGCACAGTAGCTAGGAACCAAAAGCATGAAGAGAGAGACTGTGAGGTTATTGAGAGTTTAGGGAAACCAGATCAGTACTTTTTAGCTTTTAAACCCCATGCCATGCTGAAAACTTGGAATAAACAAAGCCATAGCTATGTTTATTATTAGCCACATTCAGGCTAATGCTTTGTCTCTGTGATGTGTCCCCTGTTGTGGGGAACTGAGGATCAGTACATAAGGCAGTTCAGAAAATCACTTAAATCTAAAACTTACTTGTGGAAATCCTCACCTCTGAAATACACCTCTAAAATATTCTTTTTCCATAAAAGGTGGAACAGCTTCCATGGTAACCTGAATGCATACAGGAAGAAGTTAGAGGGAGCCCTAGAGATTCATGCCTTAATCAGAGAAATTGATGACATCACAGAGAGAATCACAGAGAAGGTGAGTTCTCAGATTTTGGTTAACTGAAGTGAGAAAATGTTCTATTTTGCCAATAGTGATAAACCCAGGCATGCTGGTTACTAGAGAGATACTGAGCATCTAGCAGTGACCTTTAATGGGTGTCTGTAGGAAGGCTGAAATGTCATTAAACACTTTGCAGATTACCAGCTCTAAAGCATTCACACTTTGAAATATATTGTGAGAAATGACAGATTAGAGTCTGCCATAAAAGGGCATGTTGTCTTTACTTAATGAGAGGCTACAGAGAAGATGAAGCTGCATTCTGCTTGGAGGTTCACAGTGAAAAGATAAAAGTTAGTGGGTTCAAATTGCAACAGGAAAGTTCCAAATAGGTGTAAAGTGAAAAAAATCACTGGTTACCTGGAGAAACTGTGGATTCTCTGGCCTTGGAAACATTTAAATCTCAACTAGATCAGACTCTGAGCAGTCTGACCTAGCATGGCCCTACTTTGGGGAGCAGTTGGACTAGATGATGTTCAGAGATCCCTTCCAACCTAAATTATTCTGTGGTTCTGTGATTCTACTTCATGGTCTCTAGTAAAATCGTATTGCTTGTTAAATAGTACTTTTATTATTAGGTTACTAGTTGCTATATCCAAAGCAGTCAACCAAGGTTTCTTCCACAGTGAGTAGAAAGAAGCAGGGACCTCTAGAGCTCAGTGTGTCTGACCTGTATTAGATGTCCTTTTGAGAATGAGATAAATCATGCTCCAGCAGTAATTCCTTCTTTCCACTAGCTGTAAGAAGAATTAGACAAGTAATTAAGCTGCAGCATCTTCAGTTCTGTAGACAACTGCATGTGGTCTGGTAATTCCTTCCACAAGAAAGGATCATAGCAAGGTGCAGTGTGTAGAATATATAACTAAGAAGCTGAGGGTCCTGTGTCTAATTTTTTTTTTGCTGTGTACTCTCCTTCAGAGAATACTGAGCCAAGTCTCTCCTGGATACCAAAAGCCAGTTATCTGAGCTACCATAGAGCTTTTTCTGAATTATCTACTTAGCTTGAATGTAGCAATTTCTAGCGTTCCAAATTCAAAGCTAGTTCATTCAACACTGGCTCACATCTCTCTCCCTGCTGTGCAATGCTGACATATTAAATATGCAACTTTGAGAAGTTGTAGAAAAAATTTCAGTCATTCAGAAAATAGAGATTAAAATGCCTGTCCTGGGTTATAATTTTGAGATTAATAGAAGAAAAAGGCTATATAAAACCTAATTATTTAATCCACATAGCTAATACTAATTTAACTATAAGTCAGTAGGGAAATACAAAGTGGTACTACTTAAGCTTACAATGCTTTTTCAGCTTTTTATAGTAACTTTTATGAATGTATTTCTTCATTGTAGGGGATTTCATCTCTGGTAGGATTCTGAGGGTCAATTTTATTTCCCTTATCTACATAAAAGACACTTGAAAATTTCTGTGCCACGATTTAATGGGAAATGTTTAGTATATGGGAAAAAAAGGGAGAAGAAAGATTGAGAAATGCAGGGAAGTATTCCTGTCTTTGTTTTATATATGAATAGCCAGAGGCACCTTAAGTAGTCTTGCAACTGTTCAAGGAGTTGTGAATTCTTCTTCCATCTCTGTAAGGAGTGCAGGCAAGGTGCCTTGTTGATATTTAAAAAGACCATAAGAACATTCAGGTGGCAATACAAAGAAGTGAAGGAGACTATTTGGAAGAATTAAGATGTGACCCTTTTGTCATCCTCACTATTTGTACATCCTGCTGCTCCCTCCAGAGTGTACTGATACAAGCCTTGGACTATGGGAAAGACATGGAAAGTGTGGAAAACCTGATCCGAAGGCATGAAGAGATGGAGAGAGAAATCAGTGTTATTAAGTCCAAAATGGAGGTAAGAAAAGGGGAAGTAGAGAGGATACTGTAAAAAAGTTAATTTTTGCTTCTTGGGAACACAATGCAAAGATCAGTGTGACTTTTCAGATTCATTAGGATGAGCTGCAGTGCAATGCAAATGCAGCACACATTTCTTCTCAGTAAAATACCATCCTGCTCAATCCTACTTTATCACATCAAATATTATTCTTCATGATGAACCAAGAACAGAAGTCCCTTTTTAACATGTCAGCTGCTTCTTCCTCATCTACAAGCCAGATTAGAATGTCTTATATCTTCAGGAAAGTGTGGAGTCCAAATTTACCTCTCCATCTTTCCCCCACTTTCTGCACTGACTTAAACCAAAATCACGACTCCAGTTCTGTTTAGATTTAAGTTTTAAAATTTAAAATTCAGAACCCACGCTGCATGTAGTTTTCTGACACTTTTCAGACATCAAGACCAGCAATCTTAGGTTGAAATCTGCTTGCCTGATCAGCTCTGGCTTTTGTAAAATGGTCAGTTAGCAGCATGGAGGACTAATCTTGAGCATTAAATGTGAATCTGAGCTTCTATATAATTGCACATAATTGAGGGCTGGAAACCCTCTGCTCTGAGGACAGGCTGAGAGAGTTGGGATTGTTCAAACTGGAGAAGATAAGTCTACAGAGAGACCTTATTGCAGCCATTTAGTACTTAAAGGGGGTCTGTAAAAAAGATGGGGACAGTCTTTTTAGAAGAGCCTGTTGCAATAGGTCAAGGGGTGATGGTTTTAAACTAAAAGAGGGAAGGTTTAGCCTAGACACAAGGAAAACATTTGTTATGATATGGGTGGTGAAACACTAGCATGGGTTTCCCAGAGAGGTGGTGGATGTCCCATCCATGTAAATGTTCAAGTTCAGGTTGGCCAGGGCTCTGAACAACCTGCTTGAGTTGAAGATATCCCCACTCACTGCAGAGCAGTTCAACTAGATGGCCTTTAAAGGTCCCTTCCAACCAAACCATTCTATGATCCTATGGTATTTTTAATAAAAAGAAATCTTTTCAGCTGAACCACAGTAGTAGAAATCCTGACAGCCTCTCACATTTTTCACTGTTGGCCAGAGTATTAAACCTTTTCATATACAAAATGCTTTTGCAAACTTTCTCTAAACTTTTTCTTCACAATAGTATGCAAATGGTGACAGGGTGTGTGATACCTTCACACACTGTGACTTTGTTAGGTAGTTCTCATATCCAACGTGGGTGATTACAAGTCAGTGTTCCACAAATAGCATTAGCAAGGCTGTATGGGGGAGTGCTGCATGGAAACAAAGATGACAGAAGTTTGGGGGTTTTCTGATGCTGCAACAAATACCATGTACAAAGTATAGTATCTGTACTGTTCATATGGATTAAAACCAGTCTGGCATATTCTCCTTTCTGCATAATTAAAATTCTTCATTTTCATCAGTTTGATGGAATTTTACAAGATCCACTTGTTTAGTTGGTTTAGTCAATGAACCCCAACTTTAAAGCTGAGTTGGTGAGTGTTCATTACTGTTTATTAGACTGTGTTGAGGAAACCAGTATCAACTAGAAGTTGACAATGAAAATAATGTTTTGATGCTGCTGTTAGCTGAAACAGATAAAAACAATTCTTGAGTCTTCTGAAAGGCAAATCTGGTTGCTTCTGTGTGCTGCCATATTGGCATAGCTTTCATTACCCATCTTAATTAGATTAAGATAATAGAGATTACAATTAATCCTTCATTTTCATGCACATTTGTCCCTATTCTGCAAAATTAATTGCAGATGAGCATTTGTGCATGTGAAGAGACTCACACATCTCTTTCTTCACGTGCACAATTGCTCACAAATGCATGAATTTTTTGTATATATAACAAGTCCCTTTGTAGATTTCATTATTGGAATTTAAGTACCTGCTTTTGAAAACTGGGATCTTAAAATTAACTACTTTTCCTGCAAGGCAACCTCAGGAATGAATATAAGCACATATATTTGGCACAAGTTCACCCCACTGTAAATCTCTTTTCAGCCATTGGAACTGGAATGTTTCCGCCTTTCCACAAGGAACCCATCCATTAATGACAAACTGACTATGAAGAAACAGGAGATGAAAAACAACTGGCTGCGACTCCAGGGACAGGCCAAACAAAGGTAAAGAATTCTAGTGGTCTGAATATCTCTCAGCAGGAGCAAAGGTGCTCTCTAGGGTCTCAAATCTACTTGCCAGGGGTCTTTTAGAAGGTTTTGATGATCCTTTACAAAGATTATACAGGCAGTTAAGACACCTGCATTGGAACAAGTGTGACTTGGTGCAAGAAAAGTTCCACTGATGTGACTTTGGAAAAAATAATACAATGATTTTGTGGCTTATCCCACTACATAATGTTACTAAAATGCCTTCAGACTACCAGAGTAAATCTATCATGAAACCTTTGTGAAAGATGTATTTCTGGATGGTTCTAGAAGACTTTTTTTTTTTTCTTGAATCTTTCCAAAACAAGAAAGGCTCAGGCCTGAGCTGTAATCATTGCTGGAAGCAACAGCTATGAAGGCTTTTTTACCTCTCTTGTCCTAATTGAACAGATGTAGAAAATAAGGTAAGCACCTTGTCTCCAAGGCAATGTGCATCTCCTGTGATTTGAGGACTGTTAAGAACTCTAAGGGAAAGCTGGGAGGCTTGAGTTCAGCTCCTTTGGCTTCTCCTAGGATACCTTCCTCTGCAAATGGGGAGGAAGGGGCAAGTAGGTAATTCTGTGTTGATTAACACTGAACTGCACATTGTGTGGCAGGAAGGAGAAGCTGGCAGCCTCCTATCAGCTGCAGAAGTTCAACTTGGAGATGAAGGAGATTCTAGACTGGACCCAGAACATCAGAGGCTTAATGGAAGCAGGGGGGCTTCCTAAAAGTGCAAATGAAGCAGAAAGCATGATTGAGGAGCATCAGGACAGAAAGGCAAGTATCAACATTGCTTCCAACTGAACACACTGGAAGTGTTTCCCATGAGAATTAATTGCTGCAGACACAGAACTTTGCTGCAGGCATCTGTCAATAACATGATGACTATTTTTAATAACAGGCTTCAATAGCACAAGTTACCTATGTATTGACAGAACTCTATCCCATGGGCTGTTTGGCATGTTGTGGCTCTGCAAAAAGTCTCAGAAAGCCCCATTAGCTTTCACCAGTGCCCTTGTCCAACCCTGTAGGTAAAAAGCTGGATGAGTACCAAAACATGCTCACTGCCAGTATCTTTATTTGAATTGCCAAAAAGTTAATGCCAGTTAATCCTGCCATTGGATGACACTGCACATTCAGTTCTGAAAAACTTCCTATCCCAGTACTAATTACCCCACAATCTATTAGTGGCTAATTTGGCTAATATTTTTGGTGGATTTCCTAAAAGGAGTGATTTTTCCCAAGCATCAAAGCTATCTTTCAGCTGTTGTGTTACCTCTCCTTTGCAGTCATGTTACCTTTTCTAAAAATCATATTCCCACAATCATGACTAAAATCCAGTGCTTTGTGGGTCCCATTATTAGCATAAGTAGTTTGTACATTATGGTTCATTTCCTAGACTTGAATGTAGCATGAAGCACCTGAAGTTCCCCTCCTTTTTCAGTCTTCCATTTTAACAATGCTCTCTCATGTTTACAGACTTCACTATAGTTTTATTAGTAATTCTTTGTCACAATAGAAATACCCCAAATTGTTGATGTAGTGTACTCCAAATTTAGGTGGTAGCAAGATGCCTCTAATATCTGTTAGTAAGGAATCCAAATGGCTTTAAGGAGACAGTCACAAAGAAAAGGAGGAATCCAGGCAATATATGCTTTTGTATTGGGTTGAATAAACTAAAATTAAAAGCACAACAAGAAAAAAATGAGGGTTTTTTTTCTTTCAGGTTAGTGGCTCAAACCAAAGTCCTAAGGACAGACTAGAGTTGAACACAAGGTGCTACTCTGAATAAAACCAACAGAATTGCTATCTCACAGCTGTCTTATCTATGACTGGGCGACACCATCCCCCCAAAAGCCCTAAAACCTAAACCTGTCTAATTTCAGACATGTAATAGCACATGACATAGTTTTTAAGATGATTTAATACAAGGCAGTATTTCAGCTCATGGTTATTTTTGTTTTCAAATCATTTACATTAGGAATTCCACATTCAATTTGCAGGGGTCATACTTGCTTATAATATTTTCACCTTCAGGATTCAGTATATAGGCATAACTCATAATTCAGACCAGGTGAAAAAGTCAAATATATTTCATTTTAGCACCACAAAATAAAGCAAAACAGTGGGTTTTAAGGTAATAATCTGATACCAACTTAATTGACTGGAGAGGAAAAATTCTAGGCATTGCTTCTCAGAACTAACTTTATGTAGGAAGGCTGGTGGGGGGATATGGTATTATGGATGTTCAAAACTGTTACATTTATATCTAAGCATTTTCTAATTTTGTAGGATTTGTAGGAGACCAGTTGTTCTTAGAGAAATAAAGTCATATATTGCCCACCTTTCTTTTCGCGTAGGCAACTCTGTGTTCTTTCAGTAGTAGTTCAAAGATGAATGATTTTCCATACAAATATTAGTTTTGGAAAGTTACAGCCCATACTCTTCCCCTTAAGGCTTGTATTCCACATAACTAGCATTCCAGAAACCCTTGACATCAACCTTAGTAATATATTTTAGGAGGAGATTGAAGCACGAGTGGAAACATTCAACTATCTCAGTAACTATGGTCAAGAACTTGCCAGTTCTGGTCACTATGCAACCCCTGAGATTCACCAGTCCCTCTCCAGACTACAGCAAGCCTGGTCTGAATTGATCCAAGCATGGCAGGAGCAACATATAAAATTGTTTCAAGCACAAGATTTACAGGTGAGTAGAAAGACATTCACCAGAGAATGCACATGCCACTTACAACCTTCCTCAAACAGCAAAGCTTTAAGATAGTATAAGGAAGGATATGTCAATAATACCCAGCATTTAAGGCATATGTCACTGGTTTCATAAGGCATGCTGAGGGCCAAGCACATTCAGTGGTGGCAGGACTTTTAGAAATTCTACTTTTACAAATCAAATAAATTTCTGTGGAATATGTGCTCATTTTTCAATATATAGTCATTTTTCAATGACTATAAAACAGCAAATCTGGTCAAACTCTCATGCAGCTGGCAGAAGGCACATACTTAAAATGGAACATCACCACTCTACCAAATTCTGTAACCTCCCAAAAAAACCCATGCAAGCAGGCAAGTATTTGAAAAAAAATCTGAAAAAAAAAAAAATTACCATGGACAGAATACTATATTTTTCCTTGGCTTTTTTTTTTCTAATAAAAAACTAGTTTGGCTGCAGTTTTCCAGAAATACTTCCCTGTAACAGTCATCTCACTTAAAAATTTCTGCTCAAATAGCTTGCTGGCAAAAGTTAGCACTAACTGAAGTGGAGTTTTTGCAATGGAGAATGTCAAGTACCTTAAATAACAACTGCTGCTACTAGTCCCATCAAAAAACTTCATACATATGAGAAATCAAACTATATGGTAAGGGCTGCTTTCATGTTTCTTTATGGATTACATCCTATTTATTTCATGTACTATGTTACCACTCTTTTTTTTGGCCAGTGATCTTACACAGCAATCACTACACTATTAGCAAACAAGCTGCAAGTACTTGTAGCCTATGTATTAGACAAAAAAGAAACAAATCTGTTATATAGGAGAAGGTTATAATAATAATACATGTGTGGGATTTGTAGCATCTAATGCTTAGTCATCCAGTGCTATGCAGGTAATTTTTGGAACAGCCCTGGAAGTTTGGTTTTCAGCATACTCTGACAGAATTAGAATTTGACTCTGTTTTACACCATGTTTACAACTGTTTTTTCTCCTATACAGAAATTCTATGGCTATGTGGAACGGACTGAGAGCTGGCTCAGCAGCAAGGAGGCTTTCCTAGCTAATGAGGATTTAGGGGTAGGTGCCCTGAGCAATTCCAGTTCTCTCTACAGTCTTTCTGGAGGAAAGGGAACTGTGAAGTGTGATGACGTGCTCTGAACCTTCCTGTCATCCTCCTTCTGAAGTTACTGCTCCCTCTTGTTGACAGTTTGGGATCAGATTTCTTTCCTTGATACTTTACCCAGGGTAGGATTCTCAGCCCCAAGAGTAATGAAACAGTCCAACTGCTCCAGTTATAGCAGGAAAGTGAGACAGCATCTCTGTAACTGGTCATGTCTGACCCACTTTTATTTGCCAGCAGTGTGCACGTCACCACTGTTGTCATTGCTGACATACCCAGTGTAGCTTTAAATTATCTACCTCAGGTACCAGTACCAGTGCAATAACTGAAACTACAAGCTGCTGCATGGGTTTTACATCCAGCATCCTACATGGCTTTTACATCTGGTGCTTGGCTTACCCTGCACCTTGTGTAGGTAGTGCTACCAGATTTGTCTCTGCAGGAACTACAATTTCATTTCAGAGTTCAGTGTAGATATAACTGGCATAAATGGCATGAAAAATATAGAATACTAGTGGCTGATATCCTTAATTTTCAGCCTGGACATATGTATTTACAGTCCCTTCACTGAAGTATATGAGTCTTAGAAGGAGCCATGAGTTTTCCACTTGTATTTCTCAGCAATGTAGAGAAAATGTTCTGTGAGTACTTTCCCTTCCAATGACTCAAGTAAGCACCTAGGAGTTTAGATGTTTTTTTCTGACCCATTTGATGTAGCTTTATTGCTTCCTTGAGAATAGTGGGAAAGCAGAGTTTATTGTGGTAACAACACTTTGACACCACTGATTCTAAAATTAAAAGTGCAGAGGGGTGCTGAAAAGAGAACTCTGAGTCATTAAGCTTGAGATTCACAAATGTTACAAGTCAAATGCTGTATTTCTCTCCAGATTGACTCTAATGTCAGACTTCAGCCTTCAAATTCAAATCTGGATCTGAGCACTTCCAAATTCCATGAGTTGAAACCAAGGCTCTAATTTTAATCTCTTTATGTGACATATTTGTTCAGTCTGATCTCAGGTTGTCATCCCACATTTGCTTCTAAAATAGCATCTGTCTTAAGATAGATTTATGATTAGGAGCTGATGATGCTTTATCTCTTTAGAAGTGATATGTTCTGTGCAGCATGACAATATGCTGGAGAAGCTAAGCATCCAGCAGTTCAGTTCTGACCTTGAAATAATGGCCTCAGACCATTCATAGAACATTATTTAGGTCCCTAGTCTCAGATTCTATGCCAATATATTTCAAAAACAAATACATTTTCTTGACAGCTTGCAAATGTGGGGTAAATACCATTTAGCTTCTGTGTTATCAGTGTTGTGGATGGAAAAACACTGACTGAAAGCACCTTCCCTTTGTTGATTTGTTGCAGGACTCCTTGTCTAGTGTGGAGAGCCTACAGCGAAAACATGCACAGTTTGAAAAAGCCTTAGAAGCTCAGATGGAGAAAATTGATGAGATGGCTTCATTTGCTCAGCAGCTAACCCAGAACAAGCACTATGACTCTGACAACATCACCAACAGATGCCAGGCTGTTTTGAGGAGGTGAAGTCAAACACTTCCCATGCCAGCCACTCATTTCTTTTGTGATAAGACTCTCCCTAATGTGACTAATAGCTCTTAGAAATTTAAGAGAACCATAAACTGGTTTGCATTTATTCAGCTTTGTGCATTGCACTGTGGTCTTGCCAAATTGGCCTGAGTCTGGTCAATATTTCATTAGGAGGTTTCCAAAGTACAGCTAAGTGAAGGGGGAGCAGGATTCAGAAAAAGGCAGTTTTCCTATATTGTGTATTACAGGCCTGGCCCTAGGGATAGTGCTGCAAACAAAACAGAAGCCTGCTGTGACATTGAATACTTCTTTGTCATTAAATACCCTCAGGAAAGGTTATTTGTTACACAACTGCTTTTTCTCTGCTCTAATGGGGCTGATCTTAAAGGCCTGCTCAATTTATCTATTAGGGCGTTTGAAGTTTTTTCTAATCAGATCTTGCCCTTTCTTGTGGATTACTTTCTTTTAGCATGATGCATGTTGTTCATCTTAAAAAAGAAGAAAAAGCTGACAGTAGAAGCAGTTGTAGTCATTGCTACAGCAGATTAAAAGATATGCATAATATTTACAATGACAGATTGGAGATCCCTTACAATTAAATTGAATATATCAATTTCTTAATATGATCAAACTATCTCATGCCTGAATTAATGTGAATAAAGTGCTGCAGGTCCACATTTGGAAAAATGATGAAAGGAGAATGTAGCTTTGGTTTATCACTGACAAATACCATCATACTCACAGGCTTCCCATAGAAGAAACATTCTAAGTTTATATTCTCTTGTACCCTGAAAGGCAATAATGGTGATTCTTGGAGGCAGATATCACATATACAGAATTTAATTGTGCTTTAAACATATTTATCTCCTAGTAATCCTTCCTATAGTGTCCTGAGAATCTTCTCTGGCAGTCCAAATCATGGGAGGCTGCATATTATGGACATTTCTCTCCTGGAGAATGGAGGATTAGATGATGTGTATTTTAGAGATGAAAATTGAAGCCCCTTATCCTATTTAATTCTCACCGTGGCTTTTACCTCACACATCTGTCTTCATCTCAGAAAAGAGAAGCTGCTGGAGAATGCTGCTACTCGCAGACATCTGCTAGAGGAATCAAGGCTCCTTCAGAAGTTGCTGAGGAATTCCTTTGAGGTACAATTACACAGGGTTAATGGTATTCTAGTTTCTTAAAACATACTGTGCTGCATAGATCAAATCCCTGAATGGATTTGCTGTGAGAAAAATCAAGGAACTAAGTCTGGAATAAGATGATATTGGGAAAGATGAGGATAAGACTGAAGGAACATTTTTCAGCTTTCATGTCACAGCTTCCCTTCTGTCACCAGATGAAAGATCTGACATTGGACATCAGAAAAATGCAGAAGAAACAAATGCATTAAAAGGGAATGTGCCACCATTTTAAAACTCATGGGAAGAGAGTTCTTTTCCTGTGAGATACTGCCAGTGGGTTAGAAATAGGGAGATAATTTCCCTCTGTCCCCCATGCCTACGTGTACATGCACACGTGCCCGTGCACCTTCTCACTGCACCAGGACTGTCTCATGGAGACAGCCCCTTTCCAGGCAACAGTGCTGGTAAACACAGATACAGGGGTGACTCCATTAGGAAAGACAGGAGGAGCTTAGGGAAGCAGAGCCTCAGAAGGACAACTCCTTTGTGCCCTCACTCACTAGTCCCATGTTTTATACATTTTAGAGGAGAGTCTGACAGGTAGGGAGTGAAGAAACACTGAAGGTTTTATCTACTTCTTTCCTCCCCAAAGGTGGCTGCCTGGATGAATGAGAAGAACAGCATTGCCCAGGATGACAGCTGGAAGGATCCAAGCAATCTGCAGACCAAGCTGCAGAAGCACCAGACTTTCCAAGCAGAGATCATGGCCAATAGAAATCGCCTGGACTCCATCAAATCTGTGAGAGAAGTGGGGTACATGGCAAGGGTGGGCAACTGGCATGAGAGACTCTGCAGGCAGTCTGAGTTACAACGATCTCAAGCAAGCAAGGGGGAGCCACTGTCCCCTCACTGCCACTGTTCACGTTGTCTCCAAGGGGACTGGGAAGCTTACACTTTTAATCCCTCAAGAACTTTGTGTCCATTGGCCTCTTTCAACTTCCCTCTTACTGTCTAGTGTGAGCTTGCTGGCTATATTCACTGGGCTAGCTGATTGCATATACAACTTCAACAAGTCAGATGTATCCAAGAAAACAATCAAGAAGAGTTTGCAAGTGTTGCCTTTGCAGAGAGTTGCTAGTAGGAGAGAAGGGAGGCAAGTCTGACAAGCTTTGTCAGATACTTGGCAGAAGCTGTGATCAGATGACGACTTTGGAAGGACAGACTGTTACATGTTTATTAACCTTATTTTCAGCACAGTGCTTACTAGCTGGTTTTTGCCATGGATAACTAAACATTAAGGGCAGATTCCCTCCTCAGACTCATCTGCACCCAGTACTGCACAACATATATTTAACAAAACCAAACCCCTCTGTATTGTCTGCACACAGAGGAGTTAAAAGTTTGGTTGTTTTGTTACAGGGTGGTGTTACAACTCTCTCTAAACTAATTTGTTTTTAAAGAGTTGTTTGCACAATCCCTTTCTCATTAATTCTTGGTGCTCTGTCTTTTTTATTGGTAATAGCTTTCCTTCCTATTTAGATGAGAATAAACATTTACTGGCCTGGTATATTATCTTTCTCACCATGCTTCCTTTTCCCCACTGCAAGATGTAGAAATACCTCAGTTTATCTTTCTAAAGCAAAATTTATCCCAGCTGAAGGATATACCTCCAGACTCTGCTACATGATGGAGGTCTTGATGTGCCCCCTCTCCTTCTGCCAACCTGTTCTTCATCTGCAACTCAAGGATTAGAAATGCAGATAGACTTCTATTGCATAATACAGTGATATAACATTACATGATTAAAAGTGGGTTTATTAACTCATATAGTGGTTCAGTTGTATGAGTTGGTTCTCTCTTAGCACATAAGGAAGGGAATACAAAAGGACAGGCAACTGTGCAATCTCAAACAGAATGTGGGACATCACAGAAAAAAATGAGTGCTTGCAAACCAGGCTCCCTGCCAGTTTCAGGCACTGTAGCTGTTGCATAACAAAGATTCCCCTTACTCTTTGTCTTCTAATATTGTCTTCTAGCATTTCAAATAATTCTAGGGGCCAGAAAACCAGGAAAATCTACCACTGCCCTAGTTTCAATAAGAATTTTGCCTTTGTCTGCTTTTTCTTTGTCTCTGGAGCCTCTACTGTTATGTCAGGAAGTGATGGCTGCAGCCAGCCCTTTATGTAGCAGTGCCAGTAGACTTTGTTTATGGAGGCAAAAGTTATATATTCTGGTGCATTCAGCAAAGGAAGAAAACTTTGACTGTTTTTTCTGCTGTAGGAAGGGGAGAAGATGCTCCGTGAGAGGCACTATGCCCCTGAAGCCATTCAGTCCAGACTCCAAGAAATGGAAGAGCTGTGGGAGGAGCTGCTAGCAAGTTGCCAGGACAAATGGGCCAAGCTGCAGGATGCTTACAAGGTAATACAGGGATGCCAGTGGTTTGGCCTTGGTGTCAATTCCAGAGGCAGCATGGCTGCCTTGCTACACATCTCATCTATGAGTGTGTCACTTGATACTAACCATCCTGACTCCTTAAGAGCATCAGAGCAAAGAAACCACCAAGTGTGGACTGATTGAATGGAATTGACAGAGAGTTGGAGATCCCTATGGAGCAAAAAGGATTTGTAGACTGTGTTCCCTCCTGCTTTCTGCTGCTGGGTTAGATCAGAATTCCAGAGAGGGGTACTGAGGGAAAATGTGTTCACTCATATGTCAACTCTGCTTCTGTCCCAGTGCCATTTTTCTCCAACACATTGAGAAAGAAGCCCACAGCTGATTTTCAGTCTTCTAGCTCCAGCCACATGACTTCTCATGACTGTGAGTTTTGCATGGGCTATCAGACACTCTGTGGGCATAAAACAGAGCTCTCCCTTTCAATGGATCCCTTTTAAAGTTCTGTGTCCACCATTTCTATTTGTGCAACAGAAGTAAGATAAGCTCTTGATGGTCTCTGCATCTGTTCTTGTGTTCACTCTGACAGAATTCTCTTTCCTGATATGACAGTGGTCCGAATGAATAGTTTGCTGAGCATGGGAAGTTTCTCCATGTTTGTGTGTAATTCTTACTGCAAGTGGTCAAGATTTTTGTATCATATTCTGTCCTAAAGTTTTAAGTGACCTTTTCCTCTTGCTTGTTCTCAGGGCCTTAATTTTCAACGAAGTATAGAGGATATAGAGAAATGGTTGGATGATGTGGAAAATGAGTTGAAAGCTCCATATAGTACTGATGACCTGGTGGTTTTGGACAGTCATCTGAAGAAACAAGAGGAACTGGAGGAAGATATTGCTGCCCACAGGGACCGGCTGCAAGCACTTGTGGTCACAGTTCAGCAGTTCCAGAAGGAGAAACATTTCCTTGCTGATGAGCTAGAAGAGAGAGTGGATCAACTGGTGCAGAGGTGTGTGAGTGCCTGTCCTGCCTCCTGCCATGTTTTTCCTGTTTTTATCAGCCTTTTTCTTTTCTGCATATTATTGTCTTTCCTTCTTATCCTGGTTTGAGGATATTCCTGAGAATAGAGCTGGTTCTGTTCAGTGATTTTACTTTTTAGCTAAAGCTCTTCTAATTAACTGTACTGTCTGAAGTTAGCAGCACATTTTTGCAGTGTGTCTGCTTTTAGCAGTAACAACACTCCATGTTTAGAGTTACTGCCAGGGATTGGTGTGCAGACCAAGGTCACTGCTAAGCTTGTGTACCACATGGAGCAGGGCAGAAAGTAAAGCCACACCTGTGGGGAGGAGTGGACAAGGCAAGTGACCCTAAAATTCACCAGTGGGGTATTCCATCCCATATCCCTCATATTCAGAATAAAAGCTGAAGGGTCATGAGGGTCAAGCCCTTCCATCTCCCTTCTGCCTTCTTGCTCACCTTTGCTGCTCCTGCAATGGCTGGCATCCAAGGAGGACTTCATCCATCTTCCCTTTCATCCTGAATCCTGTGTTCCTGAACTGAGTTCCAGAATCCAGCTCCTGTCTGTGGCTGAGTCCAGCCTGGGACTTTTTACCCAGGGCTGCACCCCAGCCAGAGGTGACAGTGACGTGTTGCCATTGGAGGGAGCTGGTTTTGATACCAGCTTTGTATAGATTTGTACATATTCTATTTTATTATCATTAGTAGTAGTAGTAGTATTAAAGCAGTTTTGTTTTCTAATTGATAAGTCTCTCTCTCCCTTATTCCCCTTCTCTTTCGTTTTTTGGGGGGAAGAGAGCTAACAGAGAGCATCTCTTACAGGTCTGGGGGCAGCCCTAACCCCAAACTGTGACACTTCTCTACGTCATTCTGAAAAAAAAGTTTTCCACTCATTCCTTATTAATCTGCAGTCCTCACTGAGTTCCTTTTAAAACCTGCAGATACAAAAGGCTACGTGATCCTCTGCAGGAGAGACGTGGGAGTCTGGAGGCAAGCAGGCTGCAGTACCAGTTCTTCCAAGATGTTGATGAGGAGTTGGCTTGGATTCATGAGAAGCTCCCCATGGCTTCCTCCAAGGATTATGGCCAATCTCTGGCAACTGTTCGGAGTCTACAAGAAAAGCACCAGGTAATTGTCACGTGAGAACAATTCTCAGTCCTCAGAAGCAAATAGGGAACATGGTATTAAATTTGCCTCTGGCCAACTTCATTTGCTGTGCTTTGGCTAACAGGGATGATGCAAAGGATTATTCTTATCCTTGTCTGATAATGATGAAGGATAAAATATCCATTTTTCACAGGATATGTCCATGACTTGGCAACATATGGGATTCTGTGCTGCTTATCATTGCAGTGCTGTAGGTACCACATCACATGATTTTTATAGGTACATTGTCTCTTTCTGTGAACTGAGTTCAAAACCTGGCCATTGCAATACAAAATAGAATTTACCCACTGTTGTGCATGCTGCCATAGTTTCTTTGGGCAACAGATCTCCTTACAGGTATCCTTTGAAACCCAGTAATCCAAGCATCCAAGCAAACTCATTGCTCAGATGTCTCAGCATGGGCTCCCAGGAAAATATCTTTCCCCAAAACTCTTACTGCTCTGAAGGGAGGGAGTTAGCAGGATATTGTGATGATCCTTAGCTGACCTTCATTCCAGTGGTAACTTTCAAGATAGATGCTGAATTATTTCACAAGGTTCAGATGGGCTATCAGAGAAAACATTGTCTTGGAACACTGTCATCTCAAATACCAACAAAACAGCAGATGCCTTCCTAATTGTGTTTTAATAAGGAGCACCATCTCTTTGCAAAGATGAGGTGAAAGAAAAAAGCAAATCCTGCTCAATTTCCAGCAGCTATGGTATTTAATGTTAGCAAATGACAGCCCATTTAAGTGGCAGGTCAAGTACCTCTGGGGAAAAATCTGTTCCATGTGCAACAGGGTTGGGAAAAACAGAAGATCTTACAAAGTGGGAGTCTCTGTGATATATATATACACAGAGAGAGAGAGAAAGCCCAAGCATTCAGTGCAATCTGTATGTCTAGAAATAAAAATATGCATTTACAAAAACAATTAAAAATATCCCCAGAATAAAAAGTCAAGTCTGCTACAGGTGACATACTAGGACAGGGATGAAGTCTCTTAAAAAGTTGATCTATCCTAAGTGTACTCACAATTTAATGTAGAACTGTAAAATGTTTTTAAATGCATCTCCCAAAATATTCTTGAGTAAGACCCTTGTGTATTCTGAATAGTTTGTACCTTCTTAGGATTTGATATAGTTCTTGTATTTGTAAAAATTTTATATTTAAGCAAGATGCAGTTTGGTGACTTTGAGATGAGATAGTAAGAACCAAAAACTTGTTTCATCATGACTGAAAGTAAGTTATGTGTGCAATTACTTCTTAAAATTATGAGCAGATTGACATGGCCTACCAGGTAATTAGGTTCACAGAATAAAGGAATGTTTGAGCTGGGTTAATCTGAGAAAATATTTGGGATAAGTGAGCTTATATTTGGGATCTCCAAGATATACTGTCTTGCAAAACTGCATTTACACATAAATCTAGTATGTATATGCACAGCTGCTTGGCCTGGAGCAGTTTCCTCTCACTCTCCACCTTCATCCTTCTGAAAAAAAAAATAAATCCTGTTGTTATAAACAAAGTGCTGTGAACACATGTTCCTAAAAGTTCCACTGCAAAGCTGTTCTTCGTGCTGCTTGTTCATTATTAATACACAGTACAAGATGTTTTATAATGAGTGCCACTGGATTCTGTTCTGCTGGGTTCAGATGTGGTGTCACTTTTCAACAACATACTGGCTGGCTTGAAATTAATAAATTAAATAGTAGTTAATAAAGGCAAGATTAGGATCAGAGCTCTTTTTCAGCCAAGTCTGATACTTCAGTTGAAAAAGCAGATCCTCTCCCCAGAGAGGGCATCTTTTCTACATTAACCCAGCACTGCAGTCTAACTCTCAACCTGCCTGTTTCGTAGCTATGAAAATAGCAGAAAAACTGTAAATTGGTGGAATTTCTTTGTGCTCATGGTGCTCAGGTGTAATTAGCTGTGGAATGCACATCTGCCAGCAGACAAACTGATGGCATGGTCCTTGCTCACCCAGGCAAATATCTTATGGGGGATATATGGAGGGATACATATTGTTTTAAAATCTACCAGTCTTCCAAATTTCAAGTGAAGCCCTTGCAAACTGGTTCAGGTAGTTTTCTTCTCTCTTGTGGTCTTATGTGTACCCACAGTGTTTGCCATGGCTGTTATGCAAAACTGAATCTTCTACAAACGTGTTGGCAAGTGATAAAAGCTGATGAGTAGAAAAATTGATTGTTCTTCCCTAGACACATTTTAATTCAAGAAACACAGTGTAATGGGGTGGAAGTGGGTGTATGCCAGTGGAATCTACATGTAAGAGGTTTGTGGTTAGAACCTTCCCTCCACGCTCTGAGGCTGATACACACCAAAGTCCAATCTTCATGGCTATATTTGATTTCTGTAATCACTCCTTCACCCCAAAAAACTCCTCCACTCCACTTCAAGCATTCACTCAGATGTTGCACCTCTGACCCACCGTTGTGTAGAGAAAACAAATTTATAATGGAATTATGTGATAACATTATATGGTAGAGAAATCTCCATAGCTTTTATTTTTTTTCTGTCATTTTACTCTTTTCTTCCAGATTTTGGAGAATGAGATAAGCAGTCGGGATGCTTTGACCAAAGCAGTGCTCAGTACAGGGCAGAAGCTGGTGAGGGGAGGCCACTCAGCCTCTCGCAAGATTATGGAGCGTCTGAAAGAGCTTGAGGCTTCTGTGGAAGCCCTGAAGGCAGAGGCCCAAGAGAGGAGACAGCGGCTCATGCAGTCATATGAGGCCCATCTGTTCCTGAATGAGGTAAAGATGGTTCATGAAAGGCTTATTTTGGTCTTTCTTTGCTTAAAAGGACCAATACCTATATTGCAGAACGGAAGTTAGTGGGGAGATACCAGCAGAATTCATACTGTCCTGATTTTTCATATCTGGCAAATATGAATACAGTGGAGAAATTAGTTACTTTTCCAGCTAATTGCATTGAGGGCTAAACATGTAACCATAACTCCCAGGTTCTGGGTATACATTCTTTTTTGATAGTCTCTACTAGGTTGTATTAAAGGAAGGCACCTAAACTGCTTTCTGTTATCACTGTCTCTTTGGGCATCACTGCTTTCCAGTTTTGGAGTTTTTTTCTGTCTTGACATAAATCAGAGCTATGTCCAGGCTCATTCCTTTATTTTATACAGCTATTGGAGGTGGAGGCATGGCTCGCAGAGAGGAGCTTCATTCTGGAGACCTCTGATTATGGGAAGAATGAAGAATCCACACAAGCTTTACTTCGTAAACTTGAAGCTACCAAGCTGGACATGGATGGTTTCAGGCCCCGGATGGAGAAAGTGCAGGAGACAGCTGCCAGCTTAATAAACAAAGACAGCCCAGAAAGGTAGGACAGTGAAAACAGACTTCTGTTCCAGCTCTCACAGAAATGCCCAGAGATGGCAAATACAGAGATGTTTAACTTTCACTAAACGTTTGATGGCTCATTAAGAAATAGGACTTCAGAGGGCATCAATCCCTCTGTTAATAACCCTTTTATTACCATAAAGGCTCAAAAAACATTGTGTTTGATAAAGTTAATTGACCTTCTTGACAGTTCACAGGATTTTTTTTTATTGCCAGTTTGCTTTTATATCTGGGGAGGAGGAAGTGAAAAAAGCAGACATTCATATGAGACACTTTAATTTCCTGAACAAGCTGGTTTTAACAGCTTGGCATAACCCACTCCATTATGCACTCTGGTTTCTTCTGTATTTTGAAGGTGTTGCAAATTCAACCTGTCTGATTGTTGTTCTTTGCAGTCCAGCCATACTTTCAAAGCTCCAGGGGATCCTAGCAGACTATCAGTCTCTCCTACAGAAGGCTGAGGTGCAGAGAAAACACCTGCAAGAACAATTCCAGCTCTATCAGTTTGAAAGAGAATTCCAGCTGGTGGATGCATGGTTTTCCAGTAAACAGTCTGTAGCAGAGTCTGATGACTATGGGCAGGACTTAGATGACGTTGAGGTAAAAGAAAATAAAAGGTATTCTATATATTGTGTGGCAAAGCATGAATAGATTTGCTGTAATTCTTGTGTAGCTGCTGACAGTGGAGCATGTTACAGTGACAAAAACTAGGCAAGCCAGTTATCCTTGCAGCAAGAGCTCAGACTGGTTTCTGCCTCCTTATACAGGGCTCTCTGAGGTAGCATACTCCAACAGAAAAAGTGGGTGCATCAGAGAGTTAGCTTTTTCTTGGGATAAAGTGAGATCAGCACACTTCACTGCTGGCCCTGATCATAAATTTGACAGGGATTAAAAAATTGCATGACCAGAGCCCTAGTCTTGTTACAATTTCAGTGGAAAACACTGGGATGCAGCATTCATGCCTCTAGTTACTGATCTCAAGGATAAATTTCTGCTCAGTGTACACAGTGTCCACTCCTCAATGAATGCTACATATGTGGACAGCTTAACAGGTTATGTTTCTAAGCTTTTGGTCTGGGTAGCATCTGTTTGTCAGGACTTAGGGTCATTTTTTTCTGTGACAGAAGATGTTAAATGATCAAGGCAATAGATGCCTACTTCTGACTCCACATCTTCTGGACTTATCAAGTGATTTGCACACACAGACTGCAACACATAGCTTGTGTTATACAGCACAGAGGAAGTGACTTCTTCTGTCTCTCCCATAGGAGTAGGCAGGAATTATTAATATCTAAGTTTGTGTTCCCATTTATCCCACAGGTGCTGGAGAAAAAGTTTAAGGATTTTGTAAATGAGGTGAAACCTCTGGGCCATTCCAAAGTTGTCTCCTTAAATGAGTTAGCATCTAAACTAGAGAAGGAAGGCCACAGCAAGATGGACACTATCCAGAAGAGAACAAAGCAAATGAATGAGACATGGGAGAAACTTTGCCATGCCATCCAGACAAGGACAGAGGTAAGAAACACATGAAAAACTGGGGCATTGAGTTCCCTGCAGTTTCCCATGCCCTTCTTCCTTTCCCAAATCAATGCATTGTTCAAGTTGAAGCACAAGGTTTGAAAAAGCAATGCATGTATTCTGGTTTATTATTTCTTGATCCTCTTCCCTTTATAGCCACTGCTTACCCTACTGCTCTTGGCAAGTCTTATACTTGGAAGGTATTTATCAGCCAAGAGTAATTCTGTTTTCCTTAATTCACTGCTAGCTCTGATTTCTTCAAAAGCTATGCCAAACTAACAGTTTATCACCACTAACAGGAGTCTGGCTCTGTCACTTATTGGACTCTTTATTGAACTACTTCAGCTTATTAAACAAGAAAAAAACTCTTCAGATATTTTTACTGAGCTAGTTATTTGAAGTCAAGGAGTATGGGAGATTATTGGCTGTTGGCAGCAGTTAATGCATGAGAATTGTTAATATGTAGTTTGAATGTAAAACAGTATTAGAACACTTTTTTAATCCTCTCATTTCAGAAAACCTAATTTTCACTTAACCCCTCTTATTTTCACTATTTGCAGTGTAGGCCTCTCTTCCAAGGAAGATTTTTAGGACACTTTTTGCAGTTGAGAGAACTCCCTTTAGAGGGCAATTCATGCTCTCCACTTTGAACCTTCATTTTACACAGGGATAAACTGCTCTTTGGAAACATCTGTTTCTTTACATTGACAAAGAGAACTTGGGGAAATTAGCTTAGCTTGAATACCTCACTTTCAGGTGACTTAACTGGGAAGATGCTTCATTCCCATATTTGTTCAGTTTCTACTGCATCAGGACACTTTAGGGTTGCCCCATTTTGTGCTGCAGACATGCTATCTACTAATACCATTAAACTGTTTCTTTCTTCCAGAACCTAAGAGCAGCCAGGGAAGTTCACCAGTATGATCATGATGTGGATGAAGTAAAGGGCTGGATGCAAGAGAAAGAGGCAGTGGTTGATATAGAAGATTATGGATATGATCTTCCAGGTGTACAGACACTCCTCAGCCAGCTTGAGGGAGTAGAGGTAAGGGGATCTGTCATGGAGCACAGGCAGAAAAGCATAAATGGGAGAAAAAAAAAAAAAAAAAAAAAAGAGACAGATGCTTGATTTGAATCCTCCCAAGTTTATTGTTTGCAGGCCAACAAAAGATAAATTTATTGCACCCTGAAATATTCTCTATGCTTCACAGAAGGCAGCCCTTTCCTCCTGTTTTTAGCATTGGGATGTTATATTATGAATGCTTTTGCTTCTACAGATGAGCTTATCTTCTAAAATCTGTTCCAAATTGTTGTTATAATTGCAAAGGTGTCATCTGTACTACAAGATACTTCAACTCCACACTTATCAAAATAATCCATCTAAAGAAGCTTCTTTGATGTTTGATGAGGAAAAGTCTTGACAGAGTCATATTTCTGCCTCTGTATAACCAGTGGCTAGAAAAGACATGCACCACCTTTAAAATCTGCTTTTGACAGATAGAAGTGTTGACATGGTCTTACAATCCATCCTGTTTTTGTTCCAGAGAGATCTAGGAGCCATCATGAAAGAGCTGGAGCGGATCCGGGGGGAGGCTTGGCACCTCAGCCGCACGTACCCTCAAGTCAAGGAGAACATCATGGAGAGGCTCACAGATGTGGATGAGTGCTGGCAAAACCTGGACAAGAAATTTCTGGAGAGGAAGGCAAGACTGAGCCAGGCAGAACAAGTCCAGCTCTACTTCAATGACTGCAGGGAGCTGATGTATGTGTTAGCCCCTTGAGTTTGGCAGTGGGCCTAATTCCTTGTCTTTCCTGTTTTTGAATTTAGACCTGTTAGTTATTTGACTCCTGTCCCAGGTGCTCTGCAGCTTGCTTGCAAATCTCTTTGAATAATAAGACATGACATCTTCATGACAGCACCTCACAGAATTTATGATGCATCAGGGGTGACCATGCCACTCCACTTCAGCACAGTGTGCATGACAAACCCACGTTTTTAGTGTTTCCTAGACACTCTTTGAGAATTCTGTCACTATGGTTAGATTTCCTAGCCTCATAATTCCAACTGAAACTATTAATGATTCTGTAGGAAAATGGGGCAGTCTGTTCCACATAGTCAAGTCATTTGTACACCCAGACAGACACCAATACCCATTTTTCTCAGAGTGAAAGCAACTACATTAAAAATAACCTAGAACAGGTTAGTACTCGCTCAAGTGCTGCAAGTGTTTTGCCCACGTGTATTTAATCCCACTGTTCATTCTTATCAGGGTTTTTTTTGCAAGAATCCAATTGCTGAGTATTATTTTTTTTCCTTTTTTAACCTGAATTAGAACAAAATACTGAATGTTTAAGGCATCTACAAAACAACTTTTTAAAAAGATACCTTGAGCTAAAAGTCTCATTTTGTTTTAAATCAATCATGCCAAAGTATCTCTAAGCAGAGGTCTAATGTAAAAATTGAAATAACTAGTGGAAATATGCTGTACTCAAAGTGGCAAACTAACATTAAACTATTATATTTTATCATTTTAATGTCAGTTTCATAAAAAATATATATTTTTTTTTATAGAAATTGCATTTTTCAAACAGGAATTCTCACAGAAGAAATATGGACCTTTTTAAGTCAGTGTAGTTAATGAAAGAGTTAATCCATGACAGGAGTAGAAATACAAAGACAGTGAAGTGGTTACCACTGACTATTGGACATTTACTATGCAAGGGCATAGATCTTGTGCTCAGGGAAATCAAGTTGCATTGGCTTATGCCAGTTAAAGCTCCCAGAGGGAAAAAAAAGTCCTTTAAAAGTATCTGTCAATATGTTTCTTTGCACAAGTGCTCAGATTCTTTCTCTTTTTACCCTTTTGACTCTACTCTGTAGGGCCTGGGCCAACGAGATGCATGCACTGGTGATCTCTGAGGAGCTGGCAAGTGATGTGCTGGGGGCTGAACTGCTCATCAAACGTCACCAGGAATACAAGAGGGAGCTGGAGAAGCAGTGGCTGAAATATGAGGAAATGCAGCGGGCAGGAGGTGACCTGGTGAAGAATGGACATTTCATGTCTGTGGAGGTGTGTTGATGAGATAAATATGTACAAAGATGACATTAAAAAGGGAGGAGCTGTAGCTTTGTTTTTCTCTTGAAACAGAACTGAACAGGACAATTGGGTTCTCTACTATTAAAAGCTGCAGGATTCATGTGACATGTAGAAAAATAAAATTAGTTATTAGTAAGACCTTATCAAGTTCTCACTCCTCTAAAAACAGATTTTGAAGCTGACCATAAAAGAATAGTCACTGGATTGATTACAGCTGAGTGGGAGGGTGATATCACTATTCCACAGAAAACATGTGCCACATAAATGAGATTTTATCATTTAATTGCACAGGATACAATACATCAGTGCAATCAGCTATAAGATGGAGTAGTGTGCCTGAGTATACTAGAAGATTTGTAATTCTTCAGATATGTTACAGAGCCAAACAGGCAAGAATGTTAAAATTTCTGTGATCCCATCTATGATGTACCTTTAAAATTTGACCTTTGCAACGGTCCCATATTTGTATGTAGATCCAGAGATCACACTATTAAAACATCTTCAGAATTCATGCAAGATTACATTACTTCTGTTCTAGAAGGAATTGGAAAACTCTCCACATTTTAAAGTTCTCCATTGTTTCCTTGCATAAATGGATATATTTGTTGAATCTTTTTGTTCTCACTAGTTCTCTAATACAAATTGCCTGGGCAAAAAGTTTCATCGTGGGAAAGCATATAGCAGAATATTGGTCATACAGTGTGTGGAATATGCTATAGAACACACAGGCTAAATGATTTCAAGTAAGAAAAAATCAGAACTCCTTTCTAAGGTTTCTAAAACCATTGTTTCCTTGCATAAATGGATATATTTGTTGAATCTTTTTGTTCTCACTAGTTCTCTAATACAAATTGCCTGGGCAAAAAGTTTCATCGTGGGAAAGCATATAGCAGAATATTGGTCATACAGTGTGTGGAATATGCTATAGAACACACAGGCTAAATGATTTCAAGTAAGAAAAATCAGAACTCAGTGATCCTTTCTAAACTTTCTAAAACCATGAAGTTATCTAGAGGTCATCTTCTGCATCATGAGGGCAGATTAAATGCTACTTGGCTGTCACATCAAAGTTTGATAGGATTTTTCACCTCCTGGCATTACAAATGTTATTTTTCTAGATTGAAGAAAAACTGCTGGAGCTGTCAGAGCTGATGAAGAAAGTAAAGGAGAGCTGGGAGATGAGGAAGGAGTTATATATAGAAAACTGGGAGATTCAATTGCTCCGCAGAGAGCTGGAACAAGCAGAAGCATGGCTGGCTACCAAGGAGAGCTTTCTTTCAGATCCTAACTATGGGGTGAGTAGCAACAGTGCAACACTATTGAAATGCCTTTCAGCCAATACTGAGTGCTTGGAGCACGTATTGTTCTCAGGCCTCAAGCTAATCACAATCTAAACTGTAATACACCCTTGAGGTTACAAAGGGCAGGAGCTCTGTCCTCTCACAGAAGTGAGCCCAGGACAGCTGCTGCATTTTATATGGTGATGGATTCCAGGAGGTGGTGGCTTACAGAAGACAGTAGAAAATTGGGGGGGATTCCAGACCATTTTTAAATGTAATAAGATGGCTTGCAGAGGGTTCAACCTTTCCTGTCATGCTGAGAGCCTGTTCCTAAAGGAAAAAGGGTTTTTTTTCTCACCTCCTGTTGGGCAGTAGAATGCTCTGCATAGATGGCTAGACAGCTAGCTTGTAAATTCCTCTTTAAACACCATAGTTTTGGGGTTTTCCTCATTGTTGAGTGCCTTCTGATGGTTAATAAGATGGGAAAACACTGTCATAAATTCAGGTATCAAAAATCAAGCAGAGAGCAAGGCAGAAGTTTAAGACCCAGTGGGGCAGGAATAAACTCTGTCTAGCACAAGCTGGACTCCAAGTACTTCATCTGTATGTTAAGAGTTACAGTTGGAAGCCATAGCACCATATGGCTTTGCAGAAAAAAAGGAGGTTGTGGTTTGAGTTCTTTTTCTAATGTACAGCAGGCAGACTGCAAGTGACAGACCTTACAGTGCAAATTAAGCTTTTTCACACACTACCAAGGGCTTAGACAATCCATTACAAAAATTTCAGAATCATCATTTGGCTAAATAAAATGGGTAAATCTGAAAATCTCAGGCATAATCTCTTCTGATGGACTTGATTTTGGACTCCTGATCTGATAGTTTTTCCATTCAGGATTCAGTGTCTGAAGTGGAGGCTTTGCTGAAGAAACATCATGACTTTGAAAAGATGCTGGCAGCTCAGGAGGAGAAATTTGCTCAGCTAAGCAGGAAAACTAAGGTGAGAAATAGAAGGGTGATGGGGCACCACAGAATAAGAAGGACATGGAGGTGCTGGAGCAGGTCCAGAGAAGGGCAACAAGGGGTGAGAGGGCTGGAAAACAGGCCTTAGGGAGACTGGTTGAGGGAACTGGGGTGGTTTAGTCTAGAGAAGAAGAGACCGAGAGGAGACCTTATTGCTCTCTACAACTACTTAAGAGGGGGTTGTAGTGAGGTTGGTGTTGATCTCTTCTCCCAAATTACTGATTGGATCAGTAATTAGGGAGGTTTCAAATGGATATTAGGAAGAATTTCTTCCCTAAGAGAGTAGTTAGGCACTGGAACGGGCTGCCCAGGGAGGTGGTGGAGTCACCATCCCTGGAAATGTTCCGAAAACGAGTAGATGTGGCCCTTGAGGCTCTGGTCTAGTGGTTAGGGAGATGTTGGGAGGAAGGTTGGATCTCATGATCCTAGATGTCCTTTCCAACCATAGTGATGCTATGATTCTAGATGACTTAGCAAGGGCAGGATTCACTGTGTTTGAGATTGTGTATTTGAGATTTATGGTTTGGGCAACAAAAAGATGCTCAGCACATAGCAGTAAAGCATGCCAGTGGAGTTACAGGCTTTAAAAGTCATTGCCAGGAGAGAGTGTATTTGAAAAACTATCCTGCTTAAAATAAAAAGATCTTAGGCAAATATCTATGAATGTAACAAAGGTAGTTTTTAAAATCCTAATACTTGTGTCCTACAGAGGGAGATGAATCTTCTGAGACAAGTGGAAACAGAAGAGAGTGAGCAGAAGGATAAAGGCAAGATTGTACGGGTTCCCTCTCTGAAAAGAAAACCATCTGACAAAAGGAATACAGCACCAAAAGTGATGGAAATAAAGAGCACAACACCACTGCCAGCTGTGCCCTTACCCAGCCTGCCCTCCAGGACCCCACTTGAAACTATTTTCTCCCCTGTTGAAAAGTCTCCATCAACATTCCAACAATTCACTGCTGAAGAAGCCCCAGAAGTGCTGAGCAGCAACAGAACAGAAATGAAAGCTGAGAGGAGGCTCAGTGAGGTTATCACTCCACCTACACCAAAGACAGTGGGCCCACAAGCTGCAGCTTTGGAACATCACAGTCCTTTAAGCTCTCCTTTATCTCCAGCTCCCATAAATCAGCAGCACAGCAGCAGTCTGTCAGAGTCACATGCCACAGGCCTTTTGTCACCTCAGGAAAAAAGTGCTAGAGGCTCCTTTTTGTCCAATATGCAGCCAAAGCTGATGACAGCTCCACCTGAGCCTGACCAAAGGTCACTAGATAAATCACCAAAGTTACTGCTGTCTAACTCTTCTTGTGAGAGATTAGAGAATACATCTTTGGTAAGTCCCAGGGATTCCTGGCTCTCTCCTCACAAAACTGCTATCCTGTACTAGTTAAAGTAAGGGAACACAGGAAATTCCATGTGAAAGTCACAAGGAGCACAGAGTGGGCATTTCAGTGGATACACTGATGGATCTGAACAGCAAGAGGAGTCTTATGTGTCTTTGCAGTTGGTAGACTTTCCAAAAAGGTCATTTACTGAAGCAGCTAGGTAGAGCTTAAAAGCAGTTTTAATTTGCTCAGCTTTATAGCCTAGGTCTTGACAACTATCGTGGTTTCTGGTTTTCTTTCCCAACCTAGAGGTTACTCATGCTGCTGAATCCTCAGCAGAGCACTTGACAAGAACCAGGAGATGCTGTCTCACAAAGAGGCAGGGCTGCTGATTTACCCATACCCTCCATCTGAGCTGGTGGTGCTTGGTGTTCACTGAGTTAGAAGTCAAACAGGCAGGACTTAGTGGCAGCCTTGTCAAAGGGCTGACCTGGTGCAAGACTAGAACCAGCAGCTCCTGTTTGCCCACCAGGCAGGACATGCTCTGTGAACCCATGGGCAGGTAAAAATTGTTCCCTTCCCCTCTTGCACTTTGAGAGGAACGTGTTTGCCACCTACCCAAGTGTGCCAGTACAACACTACACACTGGTGTAACCCAGTATTGTTTCAGGGGTGGTATAACTTTAGCAATTTAAGTAGAAAATTGTATTGAATAATATTAAAAATAATATTAAATAATTAATACAACATGATAGAGCAAATTTCCATGAGCAAGTGGTTCTAGAATGGTTGGACTTGATGATCTTAAAGGTCTTTTCCAACCTAAATGATTCTATGACCTCTCTTCATTTAGGTAGTATATTGGAGATGTGACTGCAACCTAGAGAGAATTTCTAGCTCTGCTGTGAGGGTAAAGGCTGGAGGCAGTAAAGATCAGTTTCTCTGTGTGGAATTTATCTAGAAAGACCTTCAGAAATTATAACATATATCTAAGGACCATTTTAAAGTTAAACAGCTATTTTCATGTGTGTCTCAGGTTTCTGCAAGTCTTCAGCACATGGAGGGATTCCTACAAAAGAGAGACCAGCTCTTGCCAGGAAGAAAACAGGTAGAAACAAATGCCACTACTCTGGGTTAATTTCCTCAAGATACAGCCCAGACCTGGTCTGACTTCTTCAGGATAAACTTTAGCTGGAGAGGAGCTCAGGACTGGGGGTTTAATTCAGTTGCCACTAAAATGCATGAAGAAGTGTCCAGTGACTTGGGCAGGACCTGGTCAAGTCCTTAAGAGAAACAGACAATGGAATTTGGAGAGGAGCTCAGGACTGGGGGTTTTATTCAGTTGCCACTAAAATGCATGAAGTGTCCAGTGACTTGGGCAGTACCTGGTCAAGTCCTTAAGAGAAAGAGACCATGGAATTTTTGCCTGTCATGAAAACCATGCAGAACATGCTCTGTCCATATTTATTGGATTTATAAACCAGAGCCTGGGCTGTAGGAACAAGTTAATTATGTTCCTCTAACTGAAAATACAGGTTTCAATATATCAACTGAAAAAAAAATGTATTGAAGTACAAGCATAAGACCCTGTATGAGCACATGGTGGTTTGCTGGCAGAGGAAGCCCTCACTCCTATGCTCCCAATGTTTGTAATTTCTAGCTGTGGTAGAAGAGAAATAAGATTTCTGTGAATCTTTGAAGAAGTGGTTTGTTTCCTCCAAGGCTAAATGAAACTTAAATCCAAATTCCCATCATGATATAATAATGACCAAGAGAGCTTCTGTGATCATAATATGGGCAGCTCCTGGCTTTCTGTGGAAGTTGCACAGGGAAGACTTCACTACTCCAATAAAATATATAGCTAATTATTGGCTTTTATTACCATTTCTATTCATGCAGCCAAGCTCAAGGTCTTGGAAATCCTTCTACGTAAAACTTGATGGATTAAAGCTTGATTTCTATAATGATGAAAAAGAAGCATCTAAGGTAATTTGGTTTTTTTTAGTTTTTCTAGTAAGCTCTAGTTTTACCTATGAAAAAATGCATTTAAAAGAAAACATAATTACATTTGCTTTGCTTTGGAGCTGGGGTAATCACTTTTCTTTCAAATGTCACCTCAGTGAAAATTCAACAGCTGTTCAACTGATACCAACTATCAGACAAGAATAATTAGTTTTCAAATATTTTCAAACATGTTCCTTAAAAGAAGTATCTTATTTGTGATAGTTACATCAAGATATAGTGTCATATCTTGAAGTGCTTGCTTCAAGATATAATGCAATAGTCCATTGTTCCTCTGCAGCTCTTCCTATTCATTGATCCTAGTGATAAAGTCAGATGCAGAAAAAGATAGTCTGGGTGTGTAGTCAGCCTGCAGGTTGGTATGGATTTGAATCCTGGCAGAGAAAACACAGAAGACATTCTGGTTTCATTTCATCCTGCTTCAGAACGTGGCCACACTCCTGTCCATCAGCATTCCTGGTGCCAAATGTGAGAGGCTGGCAAATTACATCAGGAAAGAGAACACCTTCATGTTGAGGTAAGTCTCATGGAGAAGTGCACTAACACAAACCTACACAGCTCCCTGGACTGTTGTATTTGCCCACAGTCACCTAAGGCTGTGTGTTGTTAGGAAACACAACTGAAATGTCTTTCAGTGCTTGCCCCACTCACAAGGACAGAAGCTAAAAGGCAAGATTAGCTACAATTCACCTTCTCCCATTGTTATTTACAGGCTGAGAGATGGGGCAGAGTATTTCTTTGCAGCACCCTCTCAGACACTGATGGAGGACTGGCTGCAGTCACTACAGAATAATATAGGTATGTTCTCACTTCCTTCAAGAACGAGCTGTTGTTTTAGCCAGGGGTGGTGAGGAACAGAGGAGAATGAGGAGGTGTCCTTAAGCTGGGGCATTCTGAGCTGTCTTTTTTACCTCTTCTAGACAGCAATACCTGAGTCACCTGCCACCTTGTGATGTAATGACCTGGCAGGAGAATGTCTAGGGTGACTTGCAAAAGCCCTTCACTTGTACTGCTGCCAGCATCAGGTTATTCCTAGGGAGAAGCCTTGTCCAAAGGCTGTATTCCTTCTTTTATTAAGGACATGCTTTGGATCTTCATCAACACCTTTTCTTCTGAGTCTAGATCCCTTTCTAGATACTTCACTAAATGGTGGCTTACTGGACAGGTCAATGATAGCACAACTATAACAATGATGTTCAGAGAAAATTGTTATGGACCCAGAAATGGCAAACTCTGCCTCTAACACTGCTTCAGAAGGGTTTTGTGTTCTTTGACTCTGCAGAACACAGTAACAGGTCATATCCCACAGTGAGGGTGCAACCTTCAACTCCAAACACAGAGACCTCTCAGACAAGACTGTGGGACTTTCCAGACAGAGACTCTGCTGAAAGACTAACCACCAAAAGCTCACTCCTGAGGTAAGGGCTCTGTGCTGCAAGGCTGAACGGATATCAGTGCTCTTTGTGCTCAGGCAGCAGTCACCTACAAAGGGATGTTGCCCTGTGCTCAAAAAATCCTGCTCATCTGTCACTAATGTCACAGAAATTGTGCAGTCAGCAGGACTAGTGAGGTGATCATCCATCTGTACTCAGCACTGGTGAGGCTGCACAAATCTGGGTTCAGTTTTGGGCCTACAAGAAGGATGTTGAGGTGCTGGAGTGTGTCCAAAGAAGGGCAATGAAGCTGGGGAAGGGTCTAGAGAACAAGTATTATGAAGAGAGGCTGAGGGAACTGGACTTGTGTAGCCTGGAGAAAAGGAGGTTCAGGGGAGACCTTATTGTGCTCTACAACTACCTGAAATGAGGTTGTGGTAAGGTGGGTGCCAGTCTTTTCTCCCAAGTAACAAGTAATAGGACAAGAGGAAACAGCCTGAAGTTGTGCCAGGGGAGATTTAGGTTGGATATTAGGAAAGATTTCCTCCTCACCAAAAGGTATCTCAGACATTGGAACAAGCTGCCCAGGGAAGTGGTATGGTCACCATCCCTGGAGGGATTTAAAAGACATGTAGATGAGGTGCTGAAGTACACAGTTTAGTGGTGGACTTGGCAGTGCTGGGTTAACAGTTGGACTTAATGATCTTAAAGGTCTTTTCCATCCTAAACAATTCTAGGATTCTAATCCAGTAAAATACACTACTCTTTAGTATGACCCTGCCTCAATTAATTTGTGCCCTTTACGATGTGGTACAGCCAGTTTTTAAAAATAGGCCTCACTATAGTCAGCTGTATCTTGTCTGTGGTTGGTAACTTAAAATTGGGACACCTGCTGAAGGCACCAAGGCTACTGAAATGAAGTGTGTCATCTGCAGACTGGGTCACCTGCATGCTCAATGGAGAAAGACTTGTTCCAACAGAGGAGGGAATCAGAGCAGGAGTCTGCAATAGGTGCTTTGGATTTCCCTCTGAACATTCTCTTCAGCAGGGTCTGAAAGGAACTCAGCCTCCTAATTTAAAGACCCAAACCAGTTCTCTAGAGTTGTACTGTTTGGGCATTTTCCTCAAAGGCAGTTTTGAGAATCCAAACACAGGCACCGAAAGCACAGCCACAGTGAAATCCAGAAATTTGGCCAGAATCCAAATCCAGAAATCCAGAATTTAGTGTAAATCAATTTATGTTGCATTTGAAGTCTGTAAAAATCTTCCAAGCTATGATGTGAAAACGTAGTCCCTCTGCCTGGTAGATTTTTGCTGCTGAGCTAGATGTCTAACAAGCTCTTACCTATACAGAGTGACTAAAACTCCTCTAGATCTGATTTTCTGGTGGTGCATGTTGTTGGTAGGAGAACACCATCCTTCAAGATCAAACCAGAGAGAGCTTCTGCAGAACTTTCCAGAGATGTTAGAGAAGATGGGACTGCAGTGACACGAGACTCCATCACCACCCTAAGCCTAGAACAAGGTGGTAACAAAACAAAACAGCTTCCATCTCTACTAGAAGGAAGAGAAAAATTATATCTGCCTCAATGAGCCCCACACCCTTCACCATTACATCTTAACCCAGCCCTCTGGAAATGTATTGATATGTTTTAAATTAATCACTACCATTGGAACTTATTTTAATTATGTATTATATCTCATAAAGCCATTAAATACAATTAAACAGGACTGTTTAATTGACTGGATACTTTTGTGTATACGACTGACATTCTTCATAGCACCCAGATGATATTTACTGCAAGATGAAAGAAGAGTGGGACCTTTGAGCCAGCCAACTGAAGTGAAGTGACTGAGAAGAGCACAAGGTACAAGCTGTGAGTGAGCAGCAGCCACCTGCAAGCAGCTTTGTGGATATCAACAAATAAGATACAAGAGGGTTGGGTGGTCTGTGCACCACAGAAGCAGGAGTCTCAAAGGGAACATTTGTTTTGTAGTCTACACAATCTTTCATTTTTACAAGACGTTAACCAACAGTTCCCTAACTATTTGCCAATTCTTTCTGGATGAGGTTACCAGGAAAATAAAGTCCTGCAGTGTTACTAATTTTTAATGGAATCTGAAATGAAAATGATGCATGAAAGATCAGCCTCTTGGTGTAAAAGGAGAGGAGAAGCAGGAGGAAGCCTAGTCCCCAGACCACTGCTCCAGAAAGACCAAAAACATGGTTGATTTACAAGGGCTTATTGGGAAGCTGGACTGAGTAAGAACTGGGGGAAATGTGGGAGAAGTAAAGAAAAAAAAAACACTTATATGTTATCTGCACAAAGTCTCAACTTGCTCTCATTACACTATTGGCCTTTTTCACTCCTCTAAATTCCTATATCTGAATAGTACAAGGGCCTGTTGGGAAGCTGGACTAAGAACTGGGGGAAATGTGGGAGAAGTAAAGAAAAAAAAAACACTTATATGTTATCTGCACAAAGTCTCAACTTGCTCTCATTACACTATTGGCTTTAGAGGATTTTTCACTCCTCTAAATTCCTATGTCTGAATAGTGTGTCAGGTGCACAGAAATTACCAAATTTTTACCCCCACAGTGCACGCAGCAGATTCCCAGCATGATGCAGAAGCAGCAGTGCAATAAAGAGAGGTGACCATGGAGACCACATCAGTAAAATCTGTTCTTCTTAGCAAGTGTTATAATGCTTACTCTGAAAAGATACCACTCCTTGGGCTAAACACAGGAGTGCTGGTGGGGTGGGATCTCTGGAGGTCTGTAACAAAATGTCTTACTCAAAGCCAAATAATCCTCAACAGATTAGATCAGGTATCGTTTTGTGTCTAGAAAAGCCTTAAAAACCTTCTGAGAATGGGAATTCCACCATCTCTCTAGGTAATATGTTTAGTGAATATTTCCTAAAGTTCTATATGAACCTTCAAAGCCAGGATTTGTGCCTGTTGTCCCCTGCTTCATCACATACTGTTACCAAAAAGAGAAAGGACCATCTTCAGTTGTCACCTTGCCTTCCCTCTTGCCAGACTAAGCATGTGAGACTTCACCAGTCTCCCCTCTTACACATCTGTGAGCAAGGAGACACATGCCAAACAGCATCCCAACAGTGATGCTGTGTTACCAGTTCCTTCCCAGTGGCTGAGACTGAGAACCAGAGTGCAAAGATGAGGCCCCACACCAGGTCACTGAGCCCAGTTGGTAAGTCACAGAGCCTGACAGAACAGCCTGCAGGGATTTTTCTGGATAGAAGAGTCTCACTGCTTTCACAACACTTTGTTGCATTGGGAACTAGATGGCAAGCCAAAAATACATCCCGAGAGAGGACTGATCATCTAATCACAACAGAAACAACTTGCAGAAAAGAGTTGTTGTTTCAGAAACTGAACTGTAACAATGCAGGTGGCCTGAGGTGCAGGCCTGGAGAAGACTTCAGCCTTTAGACTGTTTCAGTTTGCCATTGGCAGATGAGAGGAATTAGGATTCTATGATTCTAGGTGCTGTCAGGTCTGTGCCTCACTCCCAGGGCCTGTCAGTCATTCCAAGTGGCATTACTGTGGTCTTAGAGGAGATCAGACCAAGAATAACTGCAACCTGATCCCCAGGCTCCACAGATGAGAGGTAATTGCACTTAAGACTCAGCTTACGATGTTTCCATGCTCTATTTTTGCCTCGAGGTGCTGCTGCAAAGGACCCGTTGAGTCAGCCACGCAGAGTTAGGGCAGCTTCAGTGTAACAGGTTTGCTTGCAGTGCTCTGCATGGCATTCTGCAAAGCCACAGCCAGTGGATGTGAGCAGTAACCTCCCTCCACCAGCCAAGAAAAAAACCCCAGCAGCCACCTGAGCATCACTCCTGGGAAGAAGGCAAATAAAAGAGCAGTTATTGCCTAATAAAATGAACTTTTTCAGGGTTTGCCAGCTTCTTTCAGAGGAGACATTCACCCTTTCAAAACTGATTCACACATTAAAAATACAAAATGCTCAGGAATTAAATGAGTGTAAGCCTCTCTTGCTACACCTGCCAATGTATCAAGGTACTTTATGGCATTCCACCGTAAAACATTATCAACAATAAAAGAGGAAATTCATCAGGTCTGGGTGGGCTGTAATTTTGCTGGTTAGACAGCATGGCTTGATTAAGAAAAAAGGTACATCTGCAAATATATTCATCAGGTCTGGGTGGGCTGTAATTCTGCTGGTTAGACAGCATGACTTGATTAAGAAAAAAAGGTACATCTGCAAATTTAGTTTTACTGAGCTACAGTTGATTTTCAAAGGCAGTGCCTGCAGTTGTTTCACAGGGATTGCTTCTACCACTATCATGGGAAATAAAGAGGTGAATGTCTCTTTTTGTCATTTGCCAGAGGGATGGGAGAGGAGGGGCTTGAAAAAAGTAGCTTGTGAGATGGAAGCCTGTCACTATCATGTGTAAGCATTAATTGCCTTTATTGCAAATGCTAATTGAAGGACAAGTAGGCTTTGGGTTTCCAGGCATCCACACCCACAGGTAAGCTGGAGCTCACCAGTCATTACAGGGGCAATGCCATAAAGCATTTTCTGTTCTAGTGTGGGTGTCTCAGTTTTTTTGCTCACAGGAGAGATGCTGGGGCCTGCTGGATTGATGGAAGCCTGTCACTATCATGTGTAAGCATTAATTGCCTTTATTGCAAATGCTAATTGAAGGACAAGTAGGCTTTGGGTTTCCAGGCATCCACACCCACAGGTAAGCTGGAGCTCACCAGTCATTACAGGGGCAATGCCATAAAGCATTTTCTGTTCTAGTGTGGGTGTCTCAACTTCTTTTGCTCATAGGAGAGATGCTGGGGCCTGCTGATCTCACCAGCTGGATTGCCCAATCCTTGTGCTTTTACCACATCATGTCCTGTGTGACCCCAGATGAGGATTCCACCCACCTCTGCATAGCTCTTCTTTCCTCATCCCCACACACCTACACTTCAAGTCCCCTGTCCTTCCTTCAGTCCTGACACTGCAGTGCACTGAGAGGCAGCTTAGGTGGCTCCAGCCATTGCTTCCCTCAAGGCACAAGCTGCTCTTGCTCCATAAGACACTAACTGCCAACAGTAACTGCTGAGAGTGTGGTTCCTAAGCTGGGGTGCACGTGTGACATTTCAACATTGTTTATCCCAGAGAAGCTTTCCCAGCAGAAACCCTGAGGAGGCTGAGAGGAGATACACACTGTGCTGTGCAGCAGCAGCAGGAGAACCTCCCTCCAGACACATTGGCAAGAAGGGGAGAGTGTGCTCAAAGGTAAAACTACCAGCCTCATTCTGACCATGTATCTTCCAACAGGAATGGGCTGGGAACAAACAGAATCCATGTCACGTAGTTTTATCTCAGGCACTGAGATCTATTTGGCTTTCCAGTCTTCACCTGATTAAGCTCTGTGCTTGAATGTTTAACCCTCTTCTTCTCCCTCCTGCAAATAACTTTTACCTTCAAGAACTCGTTTATAGCCCCAAAATGTGGATTATATTTTCTGTTAACAGTGCCATGACTGTTATTAAAACTGCTGCTTCCATAAGCCCACAGATCTTCTAAAGTTCTGCCTGGATTTGTCAGATGCAACATCCACTGTAGATACTTTATCATTACAAATGTTAACTGTTTTAGGCTGCTTGTAGTACTCATACCAATTAATTGGCTGTGAATGCTTGAAGCAGAAATCTAATCTCCTTGCCCAAGGCACTGCCTGAGTAGAATATATTTGTATGAGCATTAAGAGACCTGATCACATAGGGTGATGCCAAAACTATTCCACAGCAGGACTACAATATGTGTGGACTCTTGTCTATGTCCTTTCTCCTCTGGTACCAAACAGCTTTAGAAAAACCCTGCAGCCCTAAGTATGGGGCATCATAGGAGTGCAATGGGTGAAATGTTTATCAGGCATTTCCAGCAGGGAAATCCAGGCCAATTACACGTCACTGCTCCAGTCCTGGGTTCCCACGAAAAGAAATTCGTGATAACTGGTGTTCTGTGAGGGGAAAAGCCAGAAGACACAGATTTTGTTCTCCTAAGGACTCTGACCACATGAAATGAAGACACTTGTGGAGATTCCAAATAAGAAAGACCATCCATCTCACCCTGACCCCGTAACCCACAACAATGCCCTCTTTAGCCAAAACCCTATTTATTTGTTTTATTAAAAATGCTGATAGGGACCATTTAGTGGGATTGTTTGTGCACTGTAGGTTAGACAGGTTTGGTTCTTTGGGAAGTGGTGGTTTTGCTCTGAAATGCAGATTATTCTTCCCTTTTGCCACCACAAAACCAAATTGTCTATACACCACGACTGCTCCAGGTCATTTTTCTCTTAAGGGAGCCTATCTAAATGGTGTGTTAGCATCATGTTATACTTGGAAACTTTTAGCAGCTGTGGACAACCTCCCTTCTCATTAAGAGGGGGAAAACTTAGTAATTAGTGTGGTTTTAGAAACGTGGCTCCTCCCCATGAGCAGAGGCACAACTGCCAATGCTCTTCCAAGGGAGAAATCCAAGCCTGGAAGAAAAGCAGTCAGCTCTGCATGGGCTGATTTTGCAGTGGGAGGGAAGGGGAGTG